AATCTGATTAATCTCTTCCTTAAATTTACCAAATTTTCTGGTTAATAATACTAAACTCGCCAGCACTAAGTCGTTTAAAATTTTTTCCCTCTAATCTCAAAAGTCTGTTTAATATTTTAAATTCCAACAAAATTATTGGATAAATTCAATCCAGATTATTGAATAAATTATTTTAAATTCAGTTTGTTAGAAATTAAACTGATAAACAGTGATGCAAGAAGAGGATGCAGCTCAAACACACACAATCAGGGAGTTAGCGTCTTCTTTCTGGCACTACTGTAAGAGAAAAAAAATATACTTTGGATTTAATGTTAATATTAGTTCTTTATATACATTTCAAGGCAAATATTGAATACGAGTTAAGTTAAGAAGCAAGCAAAGAAATTAATGTAACAAGAAATGTTATAGATCCAACCAGAAAATACTAACCAAATCTTTATAGTAAAATCTATTAAACGTTCTAGTTATAAAAAATCGAGTCTTATCATGATAACTAGAAATTCTTGTTTGATTTAACCAAAATGCCTTCAATCATCTTGAATCAATCGTCAATCGTCATCACGTCTTGTTGGTACAATCAAATGATTTTTCTCAGTGTACGAATAGATATCATCGTCTGAGATTAATCGATGAAAAAGATACTTGAACGAATATCGATAATGGTAGAGTGTATTATTGTTTTCATCGATGCTTATCGTATGTACTTTGCGACTTTCGTTGTGTATCGTCGAGCGTGCACAGAAAAAAAGGACATTCTTATTTTGAAAATATATTTAATTTTAACATGGAAATCTTGAAATGAGATTATATCGCGTTAATTTAAGAAAAATATAATTGCTTGAATAATTGCTTACTTGAATGAAGCCATTTTATATAATTGAATCGAGAAAAATATATTCTCATGATTTAAGATTTAATTTTCTTAAATGGAAAAGAAACAATGTTGGATAGAACATAACATTTTTAAATCAAAGATTATAATTTTCTTAAAGTAGAATTAAATAATTATATATTCTTGAGGTGACAATTATGATATTAAAACAAGACGATAATATTGTTGAAATTTAAAATTATTAAATTCTTCTAAGAAAATTAGAAATTATTGCGTATATACGAAACAATGAACGCGTTAGTTAAGTATATAAGTTTTGATTTGACACTTCTTTTTTTCTGTGTATGCTCATCCACGTCCACGTCGTGGAAGAGCATATTCTAGCGAAACGCACGTCTTGGTCGTTTTTTCAAAGAGATCTGTCATTCCGCGCGCGCGGAGATATAAATACGCGACGACGACGGCGGCAGCGGCGCCGCCGCGTTCCTGGGAAAGGTGGAATCCGCCGCGAGCGACGACTTCGCCCTCCTCTCATCTGACCTGGACTGCACGATTTACAAACTTGCATGCGAACGATTTTCTCACGTCTTTCCGAGAAAGCTGAGCACTTCCGGTGAATACACTTCCGTTTCGGAATCTGTATATTTTGGTAACACACGTAATACGTATACACGGTGTCTCTTTGTAAACAGGTTAGATAGGTTCGCTAAAAATATGCATTCTTACCGCACGCGACAACGGCTCTTATCAGCTTAAGCTCATGAAATACGCATTACGTCAACGGCCCGTTCAACTTGAGAGCAGAAAGTAACGTCATCGATCATGAAAGTGTCAATAAGCTCGATGATAATAAAAATTAATTATAAATGTACGCATGGAATCTTCCTTATAATTTTCTTATCAACACTGTTATTACCAGTATGTATTACATGTGTGTGCACGAAGATACTTTTATGAAAATGTTGCGTAATTAGGTCGTATCATTTTTTTAAAAATGGATGGCATAATCGGACTTCTTATTTCGATTTAATAATTAAGGACAATAATTTTTCACTTGCCCCTTTGACATAATATATGTGAGAGGGCAACACAAAATATTACAAATTATACAATTCATATTTATAATTATAATTATATTATATAATTATATTTATAATTATAAATTATATTTATTATATAATTATTATTTTATTATAAATTATTATATTAATTAAATTATTATATTTATTATATATATTTTATTATATAATTATATTTATAATTATAAATTATTATATTTATAATTTATATAATTATATGTGTAATTTAATTTTAATTAGCAATTAGCTTTGAAAAATGTAGAAGCAATACAAGCATGGTTTCTGGGACATATTTGATTAACGAAAATCGCAACGAATATCCATAAAATTTTCATTTGTACGGCATGATCGATCGACAATACGACACGAGCCGAAGGCGAGTCGCAATCACGATGCGATGCGATTAAAAGGAGTCTCGGCTCCTTATCAGTTTCCCTATTATTCTGCGATTTGTCGATGCCGCTGCGGATCAACAGCTGCGAACAACGGATAAAACCGGTCGCGAGGAAACGGGACGATCGATTTATCAGCGAGATAAAGCATCGGCGACAAACCGTCGATACCGTTCTTTGATTTCGCTGCGCTTCAAGCTTCGCAAATAAGACTCGATTGTTGTTTTCGCGATAGGATATCGATCGTTCGCCTTTACGTTACATGATCGCCGTTGGATTCCCTTACGAGCAAAAATTATCACGCGATATTCAAGGAAGAAGTGCGCTCTTGCATTCTAATAGGCTAAAAATATAACTTATCAGAGCATCTGTTCCTTTGTTATTGTTTTATTGATTTCAAGATTTCTAATTTACAACGTGTAATCTCGATATATGATATATGTTATAAATGATATAAATTATAAATATAATAATTTATAATTATAAATATAATTATATAATAAATATAATTATATAATATAATTATAATTAAAATATGATAGCAATCAAACTCACTTTAATTCGGGATACCAATTGTACGGACAAACCTGGGTCACGAGAGACCGATATTCAAGGAATGTAATGCCGAAATAAATATTATTCCGTGGTTTTCAATCGTTCGAATAAAATTTTATATCGTCTTTTCTTACAAGCAAAATTCCATTAAAAGATTTAGTACGACTTATAAATTTTACAAAAGCAATTATTTAAAGCGAACATTCGAGCTTTCATACATGCATAATTGATCAATTAATCTTCATAGAATCGTTTTTGAGACGTATCTAATTTTCCTATTAAAATTGAAATTTGAATTATTCTGTCAGAATAAATTATTCGCGCGAAAGCTTGGAAATTTAGTAGATTATACGATACCGAGATTACGTTTAGAATATTTCTACGGTACATTTGTGTTGTAGAAAACAGATTAATTATTAATTACTATTATTTAACAGAAAACTCTTCTATATTATTTCTATTTTATTTTATTTTATTTGCGAAAGAGGAAAAAATTGAAGTTGAATAGAAATCAAATGCGCAATTTTCCTGTTATATTCCTTCGCCGTTAATAACACATACCTGTAAATAGTCATTTGCATATTTGTGAAAATCTTGTTTCTTATCACAATGTCTTATGCAATATACATCATGCATAATTTTATTCATAATAATCTCGAGCTAATTTAAAGACGATTTTTTTCTTATTGAAATTCTTAGCGAAAATGCCAGTAATTTCCTAATCTCAAGCAATTGAAAAAAAATGTTTAATTAACTATTTTTTTAAATTTTAAAGATTAACAAAACTACATTCTTCTAACTAATAATTTTAGATGAACAAAAATTAAGTTAAAATTGAATTTTGATTTAATTTTTGTTTATTTATTTGAGGCAAATTCCTTATTAAATTTTAATTTTAGATGAAATTTTTATTTCAGTAGAATTCTAATTTGAATCTTATTGTTAAATATATAGTGAAAAAATTAGAAACTTGAAAAAAATAATGACTTTTTTTAGCATTTCCGTAAAAGAAAGCTCGACTCTTAATTCATCAGAAAATCTGCAAATCTCAAAAAAGACATTCAGACATTTTGAGAAATATTTCAATGATCTGTTTTTTACTTCCGACTGCTGCCAATCTACGGTTTTTTCTTATACAAAATCACTGAGATCAGTCAGGGAGAGAAGCTATATTTACATTACCAATTTGATATAACTAAAGGAATATAATGATTTATCGGAAACACAACAATGATGCTTCTTCATGTGTCATGACCTCAAAATTCGTTAATAAGCGAATGTATTCTTCCTTTTCACAACATCCTTCATCTTCTACATTTCTTGTATGTTTCCTAGGCAAATTAGTTGTACCTTAGCTTGAATACAAGTCTTACATTACATTCATTACACACAGTACATCCATTGCTGCTGTCTTTCCTTCTTACATATTGTTCATTTCGTTCTCGAGGTAAAAAAACTTGACATTTGCGTTCTATTTATTGCGTTTTGTTGATCTTGAAAGTCTTTAAAGACAATAAAGACAGAAAAAAGGAGACCGGCGACATATCGAGCCGATTGGATTGTCTTTAAGATATGTTCTTGCTATGTCTTTTGCTGAAAATTTGTTTATATTTTACAATTTTATTTTTCCATGTACAGAACTTTTTTATTTATTTTTTCCTTTCTCATTATATTTAATTCTTTGTTATGTTATTTATATTAATTTGAATGCCAATTTTGTTCATGTTCATTTCATTAAAGAGAGTCTGAATTAAATTGAAATATTGCAATATTTACAACAAAATATTTTATAATTCTTATTGAAAATTTATACTCTGCATTTGTTGCTTTTTTTTAGATCCTAACAGCATTCTTTTCATTTATGTGATTTGATCTTGTGAATTTATACTGATTTATTGTTAGACATACTAAATTATTTATTTTATTTTTTTGTTATTTATATATGTTCTAAGACTAGCTATGATATACGATAATATTAAAAATTTAAAAAGAAATGTAGATTAATTTAATAATGTTAAAGTTAGGGCTTTATGTATATATATATATATATATATATATATATATATATATGTGTGTGTGTGTGTATGTATATTTTGAAATATATAGAGATTTTATTTCTAATCGAATCTTTTTATTTTTCAGTGAGATTACAAAAAAATGTCTTTAAACACCTCTAATATACGATGTCCAAGAAGAATGCCTCACTTGTGTATATCTTCGATAATGAAATGCTATTTCAATAAAATATTTCATTTATCGATTGCACACAGACGAGATCATTCATGGGGAATTAGATGGATTTTTGTTGTCTTAAATTGCTTGTTCTTGATGGTAAATGCGCAGCAAGTCAAAACATGCTCACCTGGACTAGAAACAGCAGGATGTAAGTTTGAAATATGATAATTTTTTTTATATAGCATGATATTTCTATAATGTTAAAAATTGCGTAACACGATAAATTTTCTTTATATCTTGACAGATAATTTTCGCTAAAAAGCTTGAAAAATTTTGCGTTTCCTATAATAAATAATTTTATATCTTTGGATTTTTTGTTACTGATAATGATGAGCTTACCGTCCCATACCATCGTATTCTATTTGCTTATAAATAATCGTTAGAATAATCCTGTGTTACACACACGAATAAATTATCAATTTATATTTTTATAAAGACAATTTTCTCTTACTTTTATTATATCATGTACAGTAGGCGCCAATAATGCCTTAACATATGAAATTGGTCGCATTCGATACTAATAATAACTAGACACATCACATCAAGTTATTCATGAATCATGACTGTTAATTTCGAAAAGGAACCGACAACATTATTTGGGGATTGTATCCACAATAACACATCTGTTTAACAATTTTTAATGCAAGGTATAATAGATTGTAGGCATAATTTCAAAACAAATATTATCGGTTTTTTTTCTAACTAACAGTCATGATGCATGAATAGCTTGATGAGATGCGTTTAGTTATTACTAGCCCCGAATGTGACCAATCTCATATGTTCAGGTATTATTGGCGCCTGTACAAATATATAATACACAAAATTCAAGGCAGTGCGTACATTTACATTTATATGCATTTTAAATTAGAGATAAGATATAAAAACTGTTTGTTTTCGATCTTTTCCTTATGCATGTCCTGTCTAATATATCAGGATTATAGATAAAACATATGTCTCAATTTTCTCTGTGATATTCTAGTTTTAAACTAAATGCATATATTTACATTTTACGCTAAGATAATTGATACCAAAATTATTCTTATGATTGAATATACAGCCGACATCTTTTCTCTTTAGTGTACTTTTACGTTTGATAATGTTACAACATTGCCTGTAATATTCCTATATTAAATTTTATATATACGTAGAAGGATTTATATTTAATGTTATATTATACATATTTTTTTAAAGAGCTTATTTATTCTCGCATTAATTTATTATTAAGGAAACATTATAAATAAATATTGTTTAATATTTCTAACTTGATATTTTTAGAATTTTCGAATACGTAATAAATTATATTTTACTTTTTATAGGGACGGTGCCAGAAGGTGACATATTTGTCAAACATGGCGACAACCTACAAATTTGGTGTAATTTAAATGAAACGTTTGTTGCTAAAGAATATCCAGGTTCAAACTCTTCGAATATCTTCTTCATTCGCGATAATACAACAGTAGAGCAGAAATTCGTTACTATAATCAATAAAACAACAGCACTGTTGACCATTGAATCACCACCAGCTGGCTGGTATACGTATTCTTGCGATTTGGACATAGCCGGTGACAAAGACGCAGCTGTTTGCCTCAATATAGTTTTTGTTGCATGTAAGCAATCGTATTCATTTGTGAATTATCTTTTACATATATTTTCGAATTACATATTTTTTTCAAAAGACTTTTCTCCTCTTCAATTATACTATCTATAAGAAATATATTCTATTTATTTAATTTCTAAGAAATTTCTACAAGAAAATATACTTTATGATATACTCTTGATACAAATAAGATGAGAAACCTTCTCATGAGAGGAAATACAAAAATACTTTATTTACAAATTTAAAAATACGTTATTTACAATCATTATACATAATTAAAATATAAATATTTTTATTACAATAGAGATATAAGATTGCTAGTAGAAATACATAGTTATCCTCTTATCAGAACATGATACTCGATGCGATTTTTTATGGAGACAATACAGTGCATTGATTGTCGTTTTATTAAAATTATGAGTAAATCATTTGATATATACATATATCTTAGAAACCATTTTCCTATCGTCAATGATAAAGATAACTAAAAAGGAGACATTGTATAATATTCAGAGTTATTCAAGTAATTCCTTATCTTATAGAATTTGTACATTGGACTACTACTCAGTTCTACTTGTTCGCAAAAACAATATTTGAGATAAATACATATACGATATAAATTACACACTTTAATCATATATTTACTTAAAAAAATTATGATTTTTTTTTAATGTATTAATGTTTTGTATATGTTGCATTAAATTGTTTTTTATAAAATCTGTGTAAACATAGAAACGATAAAAACTGAGAATTTATATTAAATAGAATAGTTTCTAGTACAACTGATATAGAACGAACAAGTCGTGACAATGTTTATGAATGCAAATTCGAATAAAAACAATTCGCAGCGAGATTCATTAGCGAAAATATATTAAAGAACATGCATATTGAATATTGAAAGATATATTTAAAAATTAATTACATAATTCTAACTGATATATATTTCTCTTTTTTATATGATGTATTTTATTTTATTCAACAGATGAGCCTCAAGTGCCAAGCAACTTTACTTGTAGATCTTATAATTGGGAAAATATAACATGTACATGGGAGGTATCAAAAAATTATATCCCAACAACCCACAAATTATTTTTTAAAATGCACGGAGCAAGAGGGCGAAAACTTTTTCCTTGTCCTACAGCAAAAGCGAAGAATGATTCTTGCACTTGGACTCAATATACAAATCCGATATATAGGCAAACATACGAAAACTTTACGTTCGTAATGCAGATTCAAAATATGTTTGGCAACAAAACTGTCATATATAAAATTGATCATTATGCTATAGGTATATATATCTTTTATTAGACTATTTCTTTTCATAATAGAATGATCTCATATGTATTAAGTAATGAGACATATATGATCTTTGAATATATATTTTAAATTTAACAATAAAATTATGTTATTTATATTATTTTCAGTTATTCCTGCAAAACCTACGCTTCTGTCGGTGACCAACAAAACATCGGATAGTGCAACATTATGTTGGGAATGCCGCTTTCCGATGAAGAGCTTTCCTCCCGGTTTAACTCATAAAGTTATGTACCAGAATCAATGGGATCATAAAAAAAATTGGAAGGTAGGATCAATTTATATTATTAGCGATTAAGATAATTCGTTTATTCAATAATTCGATTTGTTGTAATTAAATGTACGAAATGATAAGCTTGATTGAGCGGTATCTTTTTCATAGGTTATCAATATTGATACGGAGCCTCATTTGCATAAGAGATGTTCCACTCTTACTGGATTGTACCCTAATACCGCGTATGATGCACGCGTTTACTTAAGAAGCGCCAAGGCCGTAGAAGAGGATATGTATAGCGAGCCCGCAGTTATTATTTTCAGGACATCCCCAACGTGTAAGTGGATTTATAAAGTAGGGAGAGAATCTGTCTATTATCTTCCTTTTACTTTTATTTATATTTATAGTACGTTAAATATAAATTTATTTTAATATATAATAAATTTTACTAATAGATTATAATGAAATAATGTATTTGTTTTATTTTTCTTATTAAATTTTTAGTACCTAGCTTTCCACCGCGAACCGATATTGGTAGTTTCGAAATTGTTGAGAACAATGGAAACAGGGACATATATTTATATTGGCAAATGATACAACAATACTACGAGAATGGTAATAAATTTAAGTATCAGGTTAATCATGTGGAAGAAAATGACCATAAAATAGTTCTCGAACCGATCGAGATGACCAAGACGTATGCCAAGTTTAAGGGACTCAGCTTTAATAAATACCGGTTTAAGATTGTCTCGGAGAATGAAGCCGGTATTAACAAGAATTATACGGAAATTATTGTACCTAGTCGAGATGAGAGTGAGTATATCAAAAAGATTGATGATGAAAAAAAAGCGAGCTAAATAACGTTTAAATTTATATTATTATTGCGAACAATTAACATGAGGTGTTTTTCTTACAGTGCCACGTGAACCGATAGCGTTCACGAGAATGGCTTTCGAAAATGGACTCTACGAATTGTCTTGGAAGCCGCCGATCTTGCATAAAGATATCACGAATTATACTATCTTTTGGTGCGACAACGAGCGCGATCGTCCTTATCAATGCACAGTATGTATTGATTTTATCTGTTATTTATTTGCAAAATAATTTTACGCGCAAATTAAAACGATATATTTCCAGGGTTACTTGAACTGGACACATGTATCCATGAATACTACAGTCTATAACATAACCGTACCAGATTCGAGCAAAATATATCAATTCGCGATTTCCGCAAATACGAATAAAGGCAGCAGCGGTATGATATGGTCATATTGCACGGTGATTCATTCGAAAGCGCTCGGCAAAATGAAATCCATATGGATTAATCGTATCGGATCGGATTTTATCGATGTCGGATGGAAGCTTGAGTGTTCAGATCGCATTGGGAGCGTCGAAGAAATGAAGATTTACTACTGTCCTATTGTGTCACCGTTAAATGCCAAATGCAAGGAACCCAAACGTAACGTCACCGTCAAATCCTACCCACCTATCATAAAAGGCATTGTCAAAAACTTGACGCCTTACACTACGTATATGCTCGAAGTCACGACAGTGACCAAGAATGGTGAGAGTCAACCTAGTGAGTCCTTATATAACACTACTCTCGAGGCGGCACCCAGTTCTTCGCCTTTGAACGTAAAAGCCATTAATGTTACCAACACGACGATGTTTATCACATGGCAACCACCGGAGGCGATGAACGGCGTACTCAGATACTACGAAGTATACTATAATGGTTTCATGAAAAAAGTGGAAGAAGGGAATGATACTAAACTGACGAATTTGTTGGCGTATACGAAATACACCATTAGCGTTACCGCTTGTACTGTGGCATGCAGTGAAAAATCACCTATGATAACAACATATACGGAAATTGGTATCCCCGGTAAGATTAGTATACCGAAAGTGCACTTTATGAACTCCAGCCAAGTGCGCGTCAGATGGAATCCTCCAGAACATCCTGCCGGTCCGATAAATCTAGCTTATTATGAGATAGAGGCTACCAGTGGCGAAATTCAGAATGTTACTAATAGGGGTGAGATTTGCGAGATTTTAATTTGTAAGCTAAACTGAATTAAATTAAAAGAGAAATATTTCTATTAAATACACGCATTATTTAACTTAATTAAATATTTTCTATTCTTCTTCTATAACTTCTTTCTCAATTATTTCTTATATGTGATCAAATGACAAATGTATAATGAAGTAATGGAAAATAGGAAAGGAGAAAATTTAAAAAATATGAAAGGAAGAATATGAAAGTTTATATTGTTATTATTCGTATTGCAGAAGCGCAACTATCCATTCCTGATTGCAAGACTGATGGAAAACTGTACAAATTTCGAGTTAGAGCCATTAATATCAATTCCAACAATGAACGTTTAACGGGACCTTGGTCCGAAACGGGAGAGGGTAATTGTTACAGTAATGGTCAGTATTTTATTGGAGAAGAAGACAAAAGTTATTCTGATCATCTATATTGTAAATGTTCATGTTTATAAATATTTATGTGTAAATATTATGTACTTATAAAATTGATACATTCACGATATTTGCGATATTTGGAACGATGTATTTGCACGACGCATTAGCAACATACGAAATAAGATAAAAACAATATTTATTAAACGAGCGAGAATTATATGTTTATAAAATTAAACAACTTTTTAACAAAAGATAATAAAATAGTTTAATTGAATCAGAAATTGAGTTGAATTTTTTTTTTATTTGTCAATAAAGCTCATTATAAATTGCTTAATTATATTTTTTTTGTAATTTTTAGTGAGATATTGATTTTTCTTGCAATTTTTTTCACTTTAATTTAGTGAATGCAATAAGTATCAAACTAATATTTTTTTAATTGGATTTAAGTGGAATTTTATACGAATATTCTTATTAGAATATATATATTTTCTATGTAACAGGATTATCACGATTTCTGATAATAGTAATAAGCGTTATTGGATTTATCCTCGTCGTAGTATCTGTTTTGGGCCTCGCATATTATATAAAAAGGTAAAAAAATTGTATATATAATTTTATATATAAAATGTAATTTTTAAAACAAACGATATTATAATTATACAGTTATTCTCTTAAAAATTATGAAAGTTTTTATATTGCAAAGTTTATATATATCGTACTATGTATTATATTATGTATTTTTCTTATAGATGGTGGTTAAAAATTCAAGATATGCAAAATATTAACGTAAAATTACCGCCTGGTCTCACTTCAAATATGGTAAGTGAGATTTTAAAAAATTGTTACAAGTGCAAAATTCCAAATTATAATATAACTCGATTTTCATAGAAACTATTGCACAAGGATGGCGAACCACATAAACGACAGCCATCTGCTGATTCGAGCGGCTGTTCAAGTGGCCAAGAATCTGTCACTTCATCGGTCACAACGACCGAATTTCAAATTTCCAGCGACAGCGGTACAGAGATAGATCCAGTACCCGTGTCGTTCGGCAAGACTGCGTCAACTTGGGAATCAAATTCTATCAGTGTACGACAAAGAAGTCTTTCACGAGGACCGGAGACTACATCCTGCCGGGAGTCATATATCCCAGTTAAGACTGGTGATCCAAATATCAATGAGAATATATCTCTAACGCGATCAACTCCAAATCTGACGGATAGTACGGGCAACACAACGACACTGCAAACATGGCCTAGTACCGGTTATATGAGCATGTTATCTTCCGAAAATTTGTTGGATAATCCGAGCCCTATGTCTCGGGAAAACACTATGGTCAACACCACTGGCTCTTACAGTCTCATTGGTATACGAACACCTATGCAAACCACATCTGACGAAGACGGTGACGATGGTATAGACAGTGCGAAAACTGTACACGATACCTTGATATCGGTCAAAACAGGAGTGAACCTCGCGCATAATTCGTATTTGCCTTTTGTCATGAGAAAGGAAGTGCCGAAAACCCTTGATACTTTCAATTTGAACACATTTGTCAAACCGGATAAGTTCGAAGAAGATGCATTGATATCGCATCTTACTGCTTCCGACAAGACGACATCCAAGCCGTTCTTTCAACCTAATCTGATGAATACAGTGCATGAACCACTCGCTTTGTGGAGTCCGATCGAGCAGTCCGGGAAGAATAATATTCGCAGCTTTCCTGTATCGACATCACCTACGAATTCCTGCAACAAGTCGTTTGTATCGCCATTCATGAATCCGACATTACCGATCTCGTCAATCGACACCACTTCGACCCCGTTAACCGATACTATCTCGACAAACTCGCATATTAGCGATCCAAAATCGACGCCCTCTGAGACATCAAGATTGCTGACTCAGGAGAAGAATAAAGACACTTTGAAGTCACAAAAATTATCTCATGTTTCGCACAATTCCGCGCCAAGTGAAAGTTTTTCGAAACCATCTGTGCTCGCGAGTTTTGTGCCTCAAATGCTACAACAACAAGAGAAAATAGAACTTCCACCCTCCAACGTAATAGAGGATGTTAAAGAGAGGGAAATCGAAAAAGATTCCGCAACGTATCTTCCTCTACCTTGGGATGCGACGACGAAAGATACGAATGAACGAAGTATACAACTAAAGGTAAAGCAGAACTCCGGTTATGTTGTTCTTTCCGATCTCCAGCTCTCCAATTCTACAATACAGCAAAAACCGACAACTAACCAGTCGGATGAGCAGTACAGTAAAGTGACAGTTGTACCGAATACGATGCAGTGAAAGAAGGAGAAAAACACACTTTTCAGCGTGTCATCATCTTTTTCTTATGAAGATGATTTCATCAATTGCATAGGCAAACGAAATAAGTTAAAGTAAAATGAGTATTAAGATAAGTTTTAAAATAAGATCTTGTGTGTGCATACATGTGATTGGTACGATAATAGAAGACTGCATGTGTGTTAAACGCGGATAGCAACGACGTTTTTAACCATAAAAGAAGAAAGGATATCAAAAAAATGAAATCTTTAATGCAATCCAAAGATATTTTTATTTGAAGGAAGTTCAATCCTCTGTAGATTCGTAATTTTGTTGTTCTATTCTTGCGTCGAGATCGAGATTAATGAAGAACAAGATATAATCAAATGAAAAAGCACATTGGCTTGGGATCATAGGAAATTCATTTCTCGTTAAAAAGATTAATAAACTTACGTTTGAGAAAATTCTTCTTTAAACACTTATTCTAAAACAGGATTTTATACGTCAAAGTACATAAGAAATAATAAAATGCACAAGAAATATACGCTATCTATAGAGTGTTTTAAAAGTAATTTCAAGATAAAATTATGTAAGAAAATATGTTTCTATATCTTTTAAGACTCTTAAAATAGAATTTTTTTATTCCTTTCACTCCAAGTTATTAGTGCCTTTCTTTTTGATTGCATCTTGTGTATGCAAATATTTAAAACTTTGTTTAACTCAGCAAAAATTCTTTGCATACGATTAATTAAGAATTAAAAAGGGTTGTTTCTATCGATGATTGATTCTTAAACTTTATTGCGTCTATCATCGCCATTGTAGAAACAAATGTATACAAATATTCTTCCGAACGATCTCTCGATGCTACTGAAACATCTACAACGCATTTGCAAACATTTTGATTCATTTTTCGTGACAGAATTATGATTGCTCAAAAAGAAGTAAAAGTGATACGCTTGAAATGATTGCACGCGAGTACAACGACAAGAGTAACATCATTTTTAAAATATAAATCTATCTATATTTTTTAATTCAGATACACATACTGTAAAAACATTAATGGAGCTTTTTTCATCTATAAATATCGAATGCAAAAACTGATTCAATTTCTTCGCTCGTATATATGATTTATCTGTTGTTGCCTTTCGATATTTCTCAATATCATAAACAAGAGTCACAAGTAAAATTATATGCATTAAGATAAGAAACTCTTTTACAATTGTATTATACTACAGTATATACAGTAAAAAAGGACAGGATCAGGGATGATAAAATAAGTAACGAGTAAGAAAAACGAATCTTGCACTCCATAGGCGTCGTAAAATAGCAAAATAATTATAAATTATTCTAAATCTCCGTAAAAGTATAACATATACCAAAGCATTCATACTGTATAGTATGATTTGTTAATATTATATTAATTTTATAAAATGTTTTCGTATTGTTCCCAATTTACGATGAGATAAAACGGGGAATAAGTGCTCTTAAAATGCGTTTTAATACTACGTTCTTGAAAAACAAAAAATATTTGGTCGCTTAAAAAAAATTAATAAGGACGTCCATGCTTTGCAATTATCCCAAATTACGCGCTTAATTGTGTGCGAGACATCAAACAAACCTATATAAGTAGCATATAGGTTACTCGGGCATATAAATTAATTATGTGAATAATGGGCAAACTGCAACTGGTCTCACTCTCATACCGAGACTGGAAGAATATATATCTGTGTATACACGTACTTTAAGCTAGTCAGTGAAACGAGTTCGTTTCGCTTGCAGACCTCTCTCTTACAATCAATTTTTCAGCGTACATTTCGCAGATTTTGAGATGTACAGAATTTATCAAATAATATTAGAAACGAACTTGCGTCAATTAATTTTTGTTTTTTTTTGTTTTTTGTTTTTTTTTTTCTTTTCTTTTTCTTCTTTTTCCATCTGAGTTTCACACTGCTAAACGAAAGAAAAGAAATGAATAATCTTTTAATTGAGATTTATTTTGATTCAGAATGCGCGAATAATTTTTATAACCATTTTGTTAAGATTTTTTTTTGTCGGTCATAAAAGAATTCACCATAAAAAACTCTCCCAAAAAATTATCGGACATTCTATCATTGTTACAGAATAAAATTTTGTAAGCTGTAATATTGCAGTTTTTAACAATGACAAATTTTAATACAAGAGAAGAGAAATATTAGAAGTCTATATAACTCTAAGATAGAGATAGCATATAGTTTAATTATATAGTTTAATTAAGGCATAGCAACCACCGAAGTTACGTCCGTTATCAAACTTGCTATAAGAATTGTAATATTCTAAATTATATGCAAATGAGAAAATGTGGATCATTTTTAAGATTTTATGGTTATTTTGCAAGTTCAAACAATTTCTGCCGTTTGGTAGATTTCATTGTTGCAACTACAAGATGAGAAATAAAATTATCTTGTTTGTTCTTGCGAAATGATACTTATGAGATTTCGCGACTGCATATTCGCGAAGTTTCCTCAATTAAAAATGAGCTTACATATATTACTGTTATTAAGAGACATGCCACTTAAATATTTAATGCATTATGTAATGGCTGTTTAATCTATAACGATATTAAGTTTGTATAAATATAATGAAAAATATTGTAAATTGAAGTTAGTAGATACGGCTTGTCGCAATATTACGCAAATACATGACGCATAAATCCGTTTGTTTTGGTTGTATTTTTTTACAGTTTAAGAATCACCTGCATAGACGTCGCAGATGCATATACATTATTCGGAAAAATGTTTGAGGAATTTAGTTTATTTTGGCATATTGTTCAATTTATTCAATATTCTATTATGCATTTCATAATATCCGCAAATAAGAATCATTATCATCATCACGAATAATTCAGCTGTGCACATGTATCATAATGTTTTGCTATAGATAAACTTGAAATCAATAGTGTGATTTTGATCAAGAAAAAGATGATGCAAATTGTAAAAAAAATACAACTAAAACGAATAGATTTAATTTTACATTCATGTGACATTTTAAATTCGTATATGTAATATAATAAGGATTATAGTATATTATGTACACCATTTAAAATTGACAGATGAGGAAATTCTTAAAAAAATGTTTAAGACGATAGTGTACAGTACAATTGGTAGTAATTATATCGCTCGTCAATGGAACATCTGAGCGAAAACATATCGTCGATTAAATCCTGCTCATGCGCTCATTGAAATAATGAATTTTGTGCGATAAAAATAAAAATTTCATAAATTGATATAGCAAAATATATATTTCCTCATAATTTTTTAGGAATATCATATAATATATATATATATATAAATATATATACATATATAATTATCTATTTTTGTTACATATTTATAAATGAGAAAACGGTATACTATGTTGTATACTATGAGTGTAACGAGATTTTAGGAAGAGATTTAAATACAGGAATGGATTTATATATATAAACATGAAGACTCTACCGGCCATTTATATATAAATTAGAATTATATATATTATGTACTGTGTTAACAACATATATCTCCATCAATTTACCTGATAGAATCTAATCGCATGTAGAGACTATTAGAGACTATTTCATGTTTTTTCTAAACATAATCAAATGATCTTTACTTAATTTAGTTGATTATTTAATGTATTTTATTACATTTTTTAATTTACGTTTGCGTTACAATTTGCTATTTGATAACAGATATGAAGGAGGTTGCCGCAGATAAAGTTGCATGACCGATACACATTAATCATGACGAAATTAAATGATAAAATTATATGTATAGCGAAAGCATATTTGTTAAGGCGATAATTTGTTCTTCTCTCTCTCTCTCTCTCTCTCTCTCTTTGACTCTTGAATGTAATGTTATGATTCACAATCTTTATTCATATAGCCTTTATTCACGTAATGCGTATAAATGGGGCTAAATTTTATAATTTTATAATTATTAATGAGCACGTAATTAACTATAATCTTAATGCAATGACTTATGACAAGAACTCTTACCAATTTATGTACATATTACAGGCCGCGATTTTACATGTAACATAATTCTATACATACTTATACGCAAATAAACCGGCAACTACGAATACACTGCTTATATAGTGCAAAATGCACATATAAGGTGTATACACAAAAGGACTAAAATATATTGCTAAGATGGCTAAATATCTCGAAAATAAAGCATCTGCGAGAACAGATTCAAATTGTAGCATTTAAAGTGATCAAATATTTATTTTAATTTTGAATTATTTGTAAAAATTATTTTTGTAAATATCATCTTGCGAATTTTTCAAATAGAAACTTTTATATATATTTATATATATTTATATTCTTGTAGCCGATATCGAGATGTTGAAATGATATGATCAAATTTTTTATGAACAATTTCTTAAGCTACAAATTGTGGAAATTATATCACTAACATTAGCATGTCCGATATACTTATGAAGAGGATTTTAAGTTAGTTAAACTAAATACTAATAGTGATAACTTTGGTTCATAATTATGAAATAATTAATAATATTATTAATAATATATAATAAATATTATAAATAATTAATAATGTTATTAATAATATAATAATTAATAATATTTGGTATAATAATTATATTGTTTTGGAAAACAATAAAATAAGTAAACAGTTATCTTCGAATCAATTATAAGAATATAATATATAGTAAATGGGATAATTTTTTTTTTTTAATTTAGAAGAATTAGATTTTTAAGTGATCTTCACAATGATCCAAAATCGAAATAAATATTACACACATTCGATCACTTTAAATCTTGCAACTTTTGTTTGAAACATTTGGAAATAAAGCAAATGCTTCCCGAAGTATTCGGTCATCCTAGGATTTTGCACTCTATACAAGCGATAATTTGTGTCAATTTTTTTTCTTTTCAATTTAATGCTTTGATTCGCGTGATATCATCCTCATTCATATCATATACGAATAAACGAGGAATAAATTTCCATAATTGTTAATGGGATGCATATACTAATTGCAGGATGATTAATGATATGACAGAACTCGTAATTAATTTATGTACATATTACAGATCGCACGTGATTTTATAATATATTCTGTACACATCTACACATAAATACACTATCAATTATAAATATATTGCTTGTATAGCGCGCGATGCGAGATGCATACATGTATATGTATCCCCATACATGATCTTTTTATATCCGAGCTCTTCTTTATCTTTAGTGTTCAATTTTAGGATAAATGATTTATCATAGAATTAATTTATCGAATCGTTGCTACAATTTATTCGTACCATTGTTGACGTTGATTCATGAATTATCCTAAGATTCTGTGCAATCCGCTATTTTATTAGTACACATATCAAATATACGTTACTTTGTAATTAATGTCGTTGTTAATTATACAATATCGGCGCTGAATCGTTACTTATCAAGAGGTTTTGTACAGAATATTGTAAAATATTATTACCGCTTTTCTTCTCTCTTTTTTTATTTTATTATTTATATATTATGCGCAATATTTTCGCTTTTCTATCGTAATAATTGTATAAACGTCGTACTATTAATTAATACTATTAATTAATTCTACTATTATTTGCCATTGTATAATGCCATGCCGTCGAGCCTTGCCATTCGTTATTCGTTCTCAGAGACGAACCCAAAGCTATCATTTTTATTTTTCTCAATACTCACTCACACATGTGGATCGCGCTGAACACGCAAGATAAGTTTTGTAATTAATAATAAACGTTGTCGGTGCGTTCGTATGAAGAGAAGAGCTATTATATTAGTTTATAATCATTAAGCTGAAATATATGACATTTATATCGAAATACATTGTATATTTTTTCCTAAATTGTATTTTTCCTGTGTGAAAAATTGATATTTAATTCGCGCTTATAAATTAAAAAGTAATTATTAGCGGGAGAAGTATAATACATTAACGATATATTCTTTATTTTTGCATTTATTTTTATAAAAGTATCTAGAATTTCAACAAAATGTGAAGAACAATTATTTAAAGCGAATATCCAAGCCTTCACACATGCATAATTGATCAATTAATACTTCATAGAATCGTTTTCGCGACGTATCTAATTTTCCTATTAAAATTGAAATTTGAATTATTCTGTTAGAATAAATTATTCATGTGTAACTTGGGAATTAATAGATTATGCGACATCGATTATATTGCGAATATTTGTACAGTACATTTGTATTGTAGAAAACAGATTATTTACTATTATTTTAACATAATATTTTTCCTATTATTTCCATTTCATTAGTAGAAAAGGAAAAAATTGAAGTTGAAAAGAAATAAAATGCTTAATTTTCCTGTTATATTTCTTTACCAACATATATCTGTAATAGTCTTTTGCATATTTGCAAAAATCTTGTCTCCTATCGCAATGTTTTATGCAATACGCATCATACATAATTTATTTTGTAATAATTTCAAACAATTGAAGGTAATTTTCTCTTATTGTTAATAGCGAAAATATCAATTATTTCCTAGTCACAAGCGACTAAAAAAATTATTTACAAACTATACTTTGTTAAAATTTAAAGACTGACCAAATTATATTCTTTAAATAATTTTAAATGAGTTTTTATTTTAGTTAAATTCTAATTTGTATCTAGTATTTATATATAGTAAAGAAATTTGAATCTTTCAAAAAAATAATACCTTTTTGGGCCATTTGGTAAAAGAAAACTTGACATTTAATTAGCCAGAAAATCTACAAATGTCATTGAAAAAGACAATCAGAGATTTTGAGAAATTATTTTAACGACCTTTTTTTCATAGGAAATCGTTGAAATTGTTTGGAAAAAGAAACATATTTACATTGTTTATATTTTATTATATTTATTATCAGTGATACAGCAAGAGAATAAAATAATTTATCGGTAACACAATAATGTCGTTTCTTTATGTGTCATGATCTCAAAATTCGCAAAATTTATCGGTAACACAATAATGTCGTTTCTTTATGTGTCATGATCTCAAAATTCGCTAATATATAAACGAATTTATTCTTTCTTCTCACATATTTATCCTCTACATTTCTTATATATTTTCTAGATCGGCAAGTTAGTTGTGCCTTAGCTTGGATACGAATCACATCTATTTCGACTTCTTTCCTTCTTACATGCTATTCATTTCGTTCTCTGTAAGAAATTTGGTATTATAATATTTTCTTCGGTTATTTCAAGCTTCAAGTAGGTTATTTAAAGCTTTCAAGCTGTAAGTTGATTTTTGAAATTATATTAATTTGAATTATTAATTTGAATTATTGTTTATATTAATTTAGGTGTTTGTGTGTCTGTGTGTTAATATGAATGTTAATTTTTGTTCATATTCGTTACACCGAAGAGAATCTGAATTAGACCTAAATATTTGTAATATTTTATAATTTTTATTGAAAATTATGCGCACACACTCTTATCATGTGCGTTCTATTTATTGTGTTCTATGTACTTTTTTTATTCTGATAACCTTTAAAAACAATCAAAAAAGAGTCGCACCGGCGACATATCAAACCAATTGCCTTCAATTATATTCTTATTATGTCTCTTGTCGAATCTGTTTTATATTTTACAATTTTATTTTACCGATAGGTACAGCGAACTTTTTTTTTATTTTTGCTCTTCTTATTTATTTAATCTCTTTCTTATATTATTTATATTAATCAGAGTGCCAAATTTGTTCACATTCGTTATATTGAAGAGGATCTGAATTAAATGCAAATACTTGGAATATTTTATAACTTTTGTTGAAAATTATACTTTTAACATTTGTTGTGTTCTTTGATCCTTATAGCTTTTCTCGTTTTATATGATTTGATCTTGTGGACCTATACTAATTTAGACATACTAAATTAATTATTTATTTTATTTTCATGTTATTAACATACGTTGATTTATATACATACTATAAATTAACAATTTATTTTATTGTCATATTATTAATATACGTTGATTAACACATATTATGACTAGCATGATATATGATAACATTAAAAAGAAATGTAAATTAATTGAATAATGTTGTAGTTAGGAATTTATATATACTTTGAAATATATAAAGAGGGATATTAAGATTATTTCAAATCGAGTCTTTTTATTTTTCAGTGAGATTACAAAAAATGTCTTTAAATACCTCTAATATACGATGTCCAAGAAAAATACCTCACTTGTGTCTATTTTCGATAATGAAATGCTATTTTAATAAAATATTTCATTTATTGAATGCACACAGACGAGATCATTCATGGGGAATCAGATGGATTTTTGTTGTTTTGAGTTGCTTGTTTTTGATAAATGCACAGCAAGTCAAAACAAGCTCCCCTGGACTAAAAGCAGCAGGATGTAAGTTTGAAATATGATAAATTTTCTTTTGTTTTACATAGCATGATACTTCTATAATTAAAAAATTCCCATGCATAACACGATAAATTTCATATATATTTTCACAGATAATTTTCGCTAATAAGCATGAAAAATTTTGCGTTTCTTTTATAATAAATAATTTCATATCTGTGAATTTTTTTCCACTGATAATGAGCCACTCACCGTTTCATATCACCGTATTCTCTTTGCTTATAAATAATCGTTAGAATAACATTGTGTTACACACATGAATAAATTATCAATTTATATTTTTATAAAGACAATTTTCTTTTATTTTTATTATATTATATACAAATATATATAATATACAAATTTCAAGGCATACATTTAGATTTATATGTATTTTAAATTAGAGATAGGATATAAAAACTGTTTGTTTCGATCTCTTTCGCATGCATGCTGCCTAATATATCAGGATTATATTATAGATAAAACATGTCTCAATTTTCTCTAAGATATTCTAATTTTAAACTAAATGCATACATTTACACTTAACGCCAACAATATAATTGATATCAAAATTATCTATGCATATATGATTGAATATACAACCGACATCTTTTTAGTTTCACTTATTTTTATGTTTTATAACGTTATAACACACACACATTGCATACAATATTATAATATTCAACATTACATACATACGTAGGATTTACAATTAATGTTACATTATACATATTTCTTTAAAAAGCTTACTTATTCTCGCATTAATTTATTATTAAATAAACGTTATAAACAAATATTTTTAAGTTAGTATTTTTAAAACTTCCGAATATGTAATAAATTATATTTTACTTTATATAGGGACGATGCCGGAAGGTGATATATTTGTCAAATATGGTGACAATCTGCAAATTTGGTGTAAATTAAATGAAACATTTACAACTAAAGAATATTCAGGTTTAAACTCTTCGAATATCTCTTTCATTCGCGATAATGTAACAGTAGAGCACAAATTCATTACTACAATCAATAAAACAACAGCACTGTTGAACATTGAATCACCACCAGCTGGACATTTTACGTATTTTTGCATTTTGGACCTACCTGGTGACATGGACGCAATTGTTGGTGTTAATGCAGTTTCTGTTGCATGTAAGTAATCATATTTATTTGTGAATTATCTTTTTCATATATTTTCAAGTTATATATTTCTTCAAGAAGACTTATGAAGCATATTGAAAATTGAAAGATAAATTTAAAAATTAATTGTGTACTTATAACAGATATACATATTCTCCTCTTTTTTATGTAATGCATTTTATTTTATTCGACAGATGAACCTCAACTACCTATAAATTTTACTTGTAGATTCTATAATTGGAAAAGTATAACATGTAAATGGAACGTATTACAGCACTATGTACCAACAACCCATCAATTGGTATATGTAATACACACAACAGAAAGAGAAGAACTTGTTCCTTGTCCTATAGAAGAAGCGAAAAATGATTCGTGCATTTGGACTCAACATACATATCCAATATACAGGCAAACACAGGAAAAATATACGTTTATACTGCAAATTAAAAATATGTTTGGCAGGAAAGCATTGATATATAATGATATCGATCATTTTGCTATAGGTATATAAATCTTTAATTAGTCATTGGATTACTTTTTTTCATATAATGAAATGATGTCATATACAATAAATAATAAGACATATATGATATTTGAGTATAGTACATACTTTTGATATCCAATAGTGAAACTATGTCATTATTTTCAGTTATTCCTGCAAAACCTGCGCATCTATCAGCGATTAATGAAACATCGGATAGTGCAACATTGTGTTGGGAATCCCCCTCTCCGATGAATAATTTTCCTCCCGGTTTGACACATAAAATTATGTACCAGAATCAGTGGGATCATGAAAAAGATTGGAAGGTAAAATTAATTTACTACATTACCAGCGGTATTTTCTATCTCTTTAAAATAACTTATCGTTTATTGTAATTATTGTAATTAAATGTAGTTTATGAAACGATAATCTCGATTGAGTGGTATCTCATTCACAGATTATTAATATTGATACAGAGCCTTATTTGCACAAGAGATGTTCCACTCTTACCGGATTATACGCTAATTCCGTGTATGGTGCATTCGTTTATTTAAGAAGCTCTAAGGCTGTAGAAAATGATATGTATAGTGAACCCGCTGCTATTGCATTCAGCACATTACCAACGTGTAAGTGAATACATAAAATAGGAAAAAAATTTATTGTCTTTGATTTATTCTTATTTTATTTATATTTACAGTACGATAAATATAAAATTACTTTCACATATAATAAATTTTAATAGATAGATTAGAATTAAATAATTATTTTACCATTCAATTTTTTAGTACCTAGCTTTCCACCGCAAACCGATATTGGTAGCTTCGAAATTGTCGAACACAATGAAACTCGAGATATATATTTATATTGGCAAATGATAGAGCAATATCATGAAAATGGTGATAAATTTAAGTATCATGTTATTCATGTGGAAGAAGATGGTCATAAAATAGTTCTCGAACCGATCGAGATAACCAAGTCGTATGCCAAGTTTGAGGGACTCAACTTTAATAAATACCGATTTAAGATTGTCTCGGAGAATAAAATCGGCATTAGTAAGAATTATACAGAAATTATTGTTCCTAATCCAGGTGAGAATGAAAGATTAGTGATAAAAAAGAAGAGCTACATAATGTTTAAATATATATTATTGCGAGCAGTCGATATGAAATAGTTTTCTTACAGTGCTACGTGGACCGTTAGACTTTACAAAAATGGCTTTCGGTAGAGGACTGTACGAATTGTCTTGGTCGCCGAGCACGTATAAATACGTCACGAATTATACCATCTTTTGGTGCCACAACGAACACGATCGTCCTTATCAGTGCACAGTATATATTGATTTTCTCTATTATTTATTTGTAGAATAATTTTACGCGCAAATTAAAACGATACATTTGCAGGGTTACTTGAACTGGACACATGTATCCATGAATACTACAGTCTATAACATAACTGTATTAGATTCGAACAAAATATACCATTTCGCAATTTCCGCAAATACGAATAACGGCAGCAGCGGTATGAAATGGTCATTACAGTGATTCGCTCAAAAGAGCTCGGCAGAATGAAATTCATATGGATTAATCGTTTCGGATTAGACTTCATCGACTTCGTCGAATAGTACTTTGACTGTTTAGATATTGGGATCATGGAAGAAATGAAAATTTATTATTGTTTTGTTGTGTCAGTGTTAAATATCATGTGCAAGGAAACCAAGCGCAATATTAGCGTTAAATATTATCCATACAGGATGTACGACATTGTCAAAAATTTAATGCTCTATACTGTGCTCGAACTCACGATGGTGACCAAGTATGGGAATCAACCTAGTAAGTCCTTATATCAGACTACTAATGAGACGGCATCCAGTACTTCCTTTTAGAACCTTTGATTGCAAGACTGTTGGGAAACAATATAAATTTAGAGCCGTTAACATCGATTCCAACAATAAATATTTAACGAGACCTTGGTCCGAAATTGGAGAAGATAATTGTTTTAGTAATGATCAGTATTTATTGGAGAAGAAGACAAAAAATTATTTATGACCATCTATTGTAAATACTTACGTTTATAAATATTTATGTGTAAATATTATATTTTATATGTAAATATTTATGTGTAAATATTATTCTTAATATATATTTAATATATTATTATTATATATTCTTAATATATTATAGTTCTTAAATATTATTAACACATTATTCTTTTTTATAAAATTAACATTTGCTGTAATTGCAATACTCGGAAGCATGATGTAACGCATTAACAAAATTTTGCATTATGCGAAATAAGATAGACATTTTTTTAACGATTGTTATTGTTTATGAAATTAAACAATCTTTGAAAATAATAAAATAGTTTAATGAATCAGAAATTGAGTTGTACTTTTTTTTTATTTGTCTAACTCATTATCTAAATTGTTTAACTCTGTTTTTGTCTATAATTTTAAGATATTAACTTTGTATGCGTTTGCAATTTTTTTTCATTTTAATTAAGTAACTGTAATAATATCAAATTCACATTTTTAAGTAGAATTATATAAAAATATTCTTATTAAAATATACGTATTTTCTATGTAACAGGATTACTCGATTTGTGATAATAATTCTAAGCGTTATTAGATTTATCATTGCCATACCGATTATTTTGTGCTACGCACATTATTGAAAAAGGTAAAAAGTTATAATTTTATATATTATAAAATGTAATTTTTTTTAAACAAACAATATTACATAATTATAGTTATTCTCTTAAAAAATATGTTTTTATATTTAATTTAGTTTTTTAATATGTTATTAATGTTAAATTAATAAATTAACATATTATAAAATATTTTATATTTTATAATATGTTAATTTAGTTCTTAATATTTTATAATTTATTTAATATTTTATGATAAATTTTGTCATACTATGTATTATATGTATTACGTAGCTTTCTTGTAGAATGTGGTTAAAATATGAAGATATGTAAAATATTGATGTGAACTTACCACTGGTCTCACTTCAAATATGGTAAGTGAGATTTAAAAAAATTAACTGTTGTTACAAATGTAAAATTCAAAATTATAAAAAAATTCGATTATTATAGAAACTACTGCACAAGAATGGCGATCCATATAAATGATAGCTGAATCGAGCTGTTGTTCAACAAACTAAGAATCTGTTACTTCATCGGTCACAACGATTGAATTTCTAGCGGCAGCAGTATTAAGATAGATCCAGCGCGCGTATCATTCCGCAAGATTGTATCAACTTGAGAGTCAAATTCTGTCAGTCTGAAACTGATGAAAGAAGTGTTTCACGAGAAGTGGAGATTGTCGGAAGTCATATATTTCAATTAAGATCGGTAATCCGAATCTTAATGAGAATCTATCTCTAGCGTGATCCACTTCAAATCCCACAGACAGTACGGAGAACATGATGACACCTGTTATGACTTATTGTTAGTCCCAGTTACATGAGCATTTTAAGATAATTGATAAATAATAAGATTATTGAAAAAAATATTTTTTTATATATAAGACTTTAGAATTGAAATTTCTTATTCCTTCCATTCCAAGTTAATGTTTTTTTCTGTTTGATTGCATCTTGTGAATGCAAATATTTAAAGCTTTATTTAGCCTAGTAAATTCTAAACACCAAATTCTTCGTATTATATGCGATTAATTAAGAATTAACGTTGTTTTTATTAATAATTGATTCTTAAACTTTATTGTGTGGCAGAATTGCTCAAAAAGAAGCAAAAGTGATACGCTTGAAATTATTACACAGGAATACAACAATAAAAACATCGTTTTTAAATATAAATTATCTATATTAGAAGCATAATATATATATTTACACTATATAGTATAATTTATTAATATTATATTTATATTATATTATAATAATATTATATTATATATATATTGATTTCATAAAACGTTTTCATATTGTTCCCAATTTATGATGAGATAAAACAAGGAATAAATACTCTTAAAATACGTTTTAATACCGTTTTCTTGAAAAATAAAAAATATTTGGTCTCTTAAAAAATATTAATATGAACATCCGCGCTTGTCAATTATCCCGAATTATGCACTTAATTGTGTGCAAACATCAAACAAGCTTTATATAATTATGTAGATTACGTGGGCAAAAAGTTAAGTTAATGTGATTAATGCACAAACAACAATTGATGTACAGATTATGGAAATGTTGCATAATTAGGGCGCATAATTAGATGACATAATTGAAGGTTTCTTATTTCTTATTTCGACGATTTGAATTAAAAATAGTAATTTTTCACTTGCTCCTTTTTATCATAATATATACAAGATGTTAACACATATAGTATTTTAAGTTATATACAAATTATCAATTTTCTTAATTTTAAATATCTATTAATTCCCAATTTTAAATATGTAAAGAAAAATTTTAATTTTAATTAGCGATTAGTTTTAAAAAAGTAGAAGCAATACCAATAGATTTTTACTTGTAATTAAACTCAATAAGCAACTCAGTATAAGCGTCATGGCTTTCAGGTTGTTAGAAGATATTTGATTAACATAAACGAATATCCGTAATGTTTTATTTGAACGGTGTGATCGATCGATATGTGTTGAAGGCAAGTGTCACAATTGTGACGCCTTCACTTGTCTGTTTCCTTATTATTATTCTGTGATTTGTCGATGCCGTTGCGAATAGCGAATAAAATCAGTCGCGAGAAAATACCGAGTGAACAGGATGATCGATTTATCAACGAAATAAAGCACTTCAAACCGTTCAAATTACGTATTTTCTAGTCACAAGCGACTAAAAAGAATTATTCACAAACTATACTTTGTTAAAATTTAAAGACTGACAAAACTATATTCTTCATATAATTTTAGATGAGTTTTTATTTCAGTAAAATTCTAATTTGTATCTTAGTTATATATAGTAAAAAAATTTTAAACTTGTAAGAAAATAATGCCTTTTTTGAGCCCTTTCGTAAAAGAAAATTTGACACTTAATTAACCAGAAAATCTACAAATCATTAAAAAAGACATTTAGAGATTTTGAGAAATTATTTTAACGACCTGCTTTTTTTCATATAAAATCGTTGAGATTATTTGAAAAGAGAAACCACATATTTACGGTGATACAGCGAGGGAATAAAATAACTTATCGGAAACACAACAATGTTGCTTCTTGATGTGTCATGACCTCAAAATTCGCTAATAAACGAATGTATTCTTTCTTCTCACATGTTTATTCTCTACATTTCTTATATATTTCCTAGATCGGCAAGTTGTGCCTTAGCTTGGATACGAATCACATTTATTTCGACTTCTTTCCTTTCTACATGCTATTCATTTCGTTCTCTGGAAAAAATTTGGCATTATAATATTTTCTTCGATTATTTCAAGCTTCGAGTAAACTGTAAGTTGATTCTTGGAATTATGTTAATTTGAATTATTATTTATATTATTAATTTACATGTGTGTGTGTATGTGTGTGTGTGTTAAGATGTATAATTTTTGTTCATATTTGTTATGCCAAAGAGAATCTAAATTAAAGCTAAATATGTTTGTAATATTTTATAATTTTTATTGAAAATTATACACACACACTCTTATTATGTGCGTTCTATTTACTGTGTTAGTCCTTATAGCTTTCTTTCCATTATTTATATAAATGATTTGATCTTGTGGACCTATACTGATTTAGACATACTAAATTAATTATTTATTTTGTTTTCATGTTATTAATACGTTGATTATAAGATTATAACGAATATGATATACGATAACATCAAAAATTTTAAAAGAGATAGATTAGTTTAATAATGTTATAGTTAGAAATTTATACATATACTATATATATGTGTGTGTGTGTGTGTGTGTGTGTGTGAAAACATGTAGATTAATTTAATAGTGTTGCAGTTAGAAATTTATATATGTATATACTTTGAAATATATAGAAAGAGATATTAAAATTATTTCAAATCGAGTCTTTTTATTTTTCAGTGAAATTACAAAAAAATGTCTTCAAGCAGCTCTAATATACAATGTCCAAGAAGAATGCCTCACTTGTGTACATCTTCGATAATGAAATGCTATTTCAATAAAATATTTCACTTATCCATTATACACAAACGAGGGTATATTTCCCACTCATGGGGAATTAAATGGATTTTTGTTATTTTGAGTAGTCTATTCTTGACGATAAATGCGAACATGCAACAAGTCGAACAATGCATGCCTAATCTACCAGCAGGATGTAAGTTAGAAATATAATAAATTTTTTTTGTTTCATATAGAGCGATATTTCTATAATGTTAAAAATTGCCATGCACAACACGATAAATTTTCTATTCAATTTCACAGATATCTTTTTCTAATAAGCATGAAAAATATTTTGCGTTTCTTTTATAATAAATAATTTTATATCTGTGAATTTTTTGCCTCTAATAATGGGCCGCTTACCGTTCCATATCACCGTATCACTCTTTACATATAAATAATCGTTAGAATATTATTATATTACACACACGAATAAATTATCAACTTATATTTTTGTAAAGACAATTTCCTTTTACTTTTATTATATTATATACAAATATATAATTCACAAATTTCAAGACAGCGCGTACATTTAGATTTATATGCATTTTAAGTTAAAGATAACATAAAAATTGTTAGTTTTTTTATTTATCCGTATGCATGCTGCCTAATATCAGAATTATAGATAAAAAAACATATGTCTCTTAACTTTTTATGATACTCCAGTTTTTAAACTAAATGCATATATTTACATTCAACGCCAACAATATAAGGGAGACTGAAATTATTCATATGATTGAATATACCGACATCAGGTTTCCTTAATGTATTATATATGTAGAAGGACTTGTAATTATAGTTATATTAAACATATTTCTTATTAAATAGCTTATTCTCGCATTAATTTATTATTAAGTAAACATTATAAACAAATATTGCTTAGTATTTTTAATTTAGTATTTTTAAAATTTTCGAATATGTAATAAATTATATTTTACTTTTTATAGGGACAGTGCCGAGAGGTGACATATTTCTCAAATGTGGTGACAATCTACAAATTTGGTGTAATTTAAATAAACCGTTTATAGCTAAAGAATATTCGGGTATAAACGCTTCGAATATTTTCTTCATTCGCGATAATGCAACAGTAGAGCAGAAATTCGTTACTACAATTAATGAAACAACAGCACTATTGACCATTGAATCACCACCAGCCGGACAATTTAAATATTTTTGCAATTTGGATATATCTAACATAATCATAACTGTTTGTCTTAATAATGTTTTTGTTACGTGTAAGTAATCACATTTATTTGTGAATTATCTTTTTCAATTATTTTCAAGTTACATATTTCTTCAAGAATACTTTTCTTCTCTCTTCAGTTATGTTATGTATTAGAGGCATATTTTATTTATTTTATTTCTATAAAAAAAAGATTACAAATATATAATACTCTACAATATATTCTTGATAAAATTAATCTGAGAAATTATCTCATGAAGAAAATATTACACTATTTAATATTAATTTAATATTACACTATATAATTATTTGTATCTAAAATACAAATATTTTAATTACAGTAGAAATATATGTTTGCTATATAGTAGAAATACATAGTTAATCTCTCTAGTTAACCCTTTCATCAAAATATGATATTCGACGCGATGTTTTATGGAAACAATAGTACATTGATTCCCTTTTCAATAAAATTATGAGTGAATTGTTTGATATATATGTGTGTGTGTGTGTGTGTGTGTGTGTGTGTGTGTGTGTGTGTCTTTGAAATCATTTTGCTATCGTCAACTATAAAAATTACTAAAAAGAAGATATTGTATAATATTTAGAGTTATACAAGTAATTTGTTAGTTTGTAACTTGTTAACTTGTATATTGAGCTACTATTCAGTTCCACTCGTTTGCAAAAGCAATGTTCGAGATAAATATACACACACAATATAAATTATACATTTTATTCATATATTTACTTAAAAAAATTATGATTCTTTTTAAATATAACATATTTTATACATGTTGCATTAAATTGCTTTCTATTGTATAAAATTTATGTAAACTTAGAAACAATAAAAACTAAGAATTTGTATTAAATAAAGTAGCCAGTAGTACAACTAATACACAAAAAACAAATCATAACAATATTTATAAATGCAAATTCGAACAAAGACAAGCGAGATTTATTAACATTAATATTACAGATCAAGCATATTGAAAATTAGATATATTTAAAAGATATATTTAAAAATTAATTATGTAATTATAACAGATATACATATTCTCCTCTTTTTCATGTGCATTTTATTTTATTCAACAGATGAATTTCAACGGCCAAGAAATTTTACTTGTAGATCTTATAATTGGAAGAGTATAACATGTACATGGGTATCACAGCACTATGTACCAACAACCCATGAATTATTCTATATAATACACAGAAAAAATAGACAAGAATTTGTTTCTTGTCCTACAGAAAAAGCGAAAAATGATTCTTGCACTTGGACTCAACATACATATCCAACATACAGGCAAACAAAAGAAAAATATGACTTCATAATGCACATTCAAAATATGTTTGACACGAAATCCTTCGTATTTGATACTATCGATCATTTTGCTATAGGTATATATAAATCTTTTTAGTCGTTGGATTATTTCTTTACATGTAATGAAATGATATCATATGGAATAAATAATGAGACATATATAATCTTTGAATACAGCATATGCTTTTGACATCCAACACTGACACTATGTCATTATTTTCAGTTATACCTGCAAAACCTACGCATGTATCGGTGATTAACAAAACATCGAATAGTGCAACATTATGTTGGCAATCTCCCTCTCCGATGAAAAGTTTTCCTCCCGGTTTAACTCATAAAGTTATGTATCAGAAACACCGGGATCATAAAAAGAAATGGAAGGTAGGATTAATTTACTACATTGTCAGCGGTATTTTCTATCTCTTTTTCTATCTCTTTAAAATAAACTCATTGCTTATAATTATTACTTAATTTTCTTTATGAAATGATGATAATCTCAATTGCGCTATATCTTATTTGCAGATTATTAATATTGATACGGAGCCTCATTTGCACAAGAGATGTTTCACTCTTACCGGATTATACGCTAATACCGAGTATGATGCATACGTTTATTTAAGAAGTTCTAAGGCCGTAGGAGAGGATATGTATAGTGAGCCCGCTGCTATTATATTCAGCACATTACCAACGTGTAAGTGAATACATAAAATAGGAAGAAAATTTATTGTCTTTGATTTATTCTTATTTTATTTATATTTACAGTACAATTATAAAATTACAATATAAAATTACTTTAATATGTAATAAATTTTAATAGATGATCACAATTAAATAATTATTTTACCATTCAATTTTTTTTTAGTACCTAGCTTTTCACCGCGAACCGATATTGGTAGCTACGAAATTATCGAATACAATAAAACTCGAGATGTATATTTATATTGGCAAATGATACAGCAACGTTACGAGAATGGTAATGAATTTAAGTATCACGTTAAGCATGTGGAAGAAAATGGTCATAAAATAATTCTCGAACCGATCGAGATAACCAAGGCATATGCCAAGTTTGAGGGACTCAGCTTTAATAAATACCGATTTAAGATTGTCTCAGAGAATGAAGTCGGCATTAGTAAGAATTACACGGAAATTATTATACCTAATCGAGATGAGAGTGAGTATATCAAAATGATTGATGATAAAAGAAGAGTTCCAAAACATTTAAATATCATTGCGAGCAGTTAATATGAGATATTTTTCGTACAGTGCCACGTGAACCGATAGAATTTACAAAAATGGCTTTCGAAAGAGGACTGTACGAATTGTCTTGGGTGCCGCCGATTAGGCATGAAATCGTCACAAATTATACCATCTTTTGGTGCGACAACAAACGCGATCGTCCTTATCAGTGCACAGTATGTATTGATTTTCTCTGTTATTTATTTGTAGAATAATTTTGCGCGCAAATTAAAATGATACATCTGCAGGGTTACTTGAACTGGACACATGTATCCATGAATACTACAGTCTATAACATAACGGTACCAAATTCTAACAAAACATATCAATTCGCGATTTCCGCTAATACGAATAAGGGCAGCAGCGGTATGATATGGTCATCTTGCACGGTGATTCGCCCAAAAAAGCTCGACAGAATGAAATTCATATGGATTAATCGTTTTGGATTAGACTTCATCGAGGTTGGATGGCACTTTCAATGTTTAGATCGTATTGGGGTCATCGAAGAAGTGAAAATTTACTACTGTCCTATTGAGTCAGTGTTGAATACCAAGTGCAAAGAACCCAAGCGAAATATTAGCGTCAAATACCATCCATATAGGATGTTCGGTAGTGTCAAAAACTTGACGTCCCATACTTTGTATATGCTCGAACTCACGATGGTGACTAAGTATGGCGAGAGTCAGCCTAGTAAGTCCTTACATCAAATTACTTATAAGGCGGGATGCAGTATGTCCTGGAATGTTTAATTATAAGACTGTTGGAAAACAATATAAATTTAGAGCCATTAATATCGGTTTCAATAATAAGTATTTAGCGGATTTTTGATCTGAAAATGGAGAAGATAATTATTATAATGGTTAGTATTTTATTGAAGAAGATGACAAAAATGATTATGATCATCTATATTATAAAAACTTATTATTTATAAATAAATTTATGTCTAAATATCATTAACATATTATTCTTAATATTGTTCTTAAATATTATTAACATATTATATATAATATTATTAATATATAATATTATTACATATAATATTATTAACATATTATTCTTTTTTATAAAATTAATATTTGCGGTACTTGTGATACTCGGAAATAGGATGTAACGCATTAGCAAAATTTTGCATTATGCGAAATAAGATAAAGACAACATTTTTTTAATGATTGTTATTGTTTATGAAATTAAACAACTTTTTAATGACAATAAAATAATTTAATGAATCAGAAATTGAGTTGTACTTTTTTTTATTTGTCTAACTCATTATCTAAATTGTTTAACTATATTTTTTCTATAATTTTAAGTGAGATATTAACTTTATATGCTTTTGCAATTTTTTTCACTTTAATTTAGCAAATGTAATAATATCAAACTCACATTTTTAATCGGATAATTATCGGATATTTAAGTAAAATTTTATACAAATATTCTTATTAGAATATTTTCGTATAAAATTTTACATATTTTTTATGTAATAGGATTATGTGATTCTAAGCGTTATTGAATTTATCACTGCCATACCGATTATTTTGTGCTGCGCACATTATTGAAAAAGATAAAAAGTTGTAATTTTACATATTATAAAATGTAATTTGTTTTTTAAACAAATGATACTACATAATTATACTTAATATTTTATAATTTGTTTAATATTTTATAATAAATATTGTTATGATATGTATTACATTATGTAGCTTTCTTGTAGAATGTGATAAAAAAAATGAAGATATGTAAAATATTAATGTGAAATTACCAACTCGTCTCATTTCAAACACATAGTAAGTAAAATTTTAAAACATTAGGAGCTGTTGTTACAAGTGCAAAATCTAAAATTATAAAAAAATTCGATTATCATAGAAACTAACTGCACAAGGACGGCGATCCATATAAACGATAGCTCGAATCGAGATGTTGTTCAAGAGACCAAGAATCTGTTACGTCATTGTCACGATTGAATTTCTAGGGACTGCAATGTCGAGATAAATCCAGCGCCCGTATTACTCAGCAAGATTGGGTCAACTTGAGAATCAAATTCTGTCAGTCTGAAATTGATGAAAGAATTTGAATATATTCCAATTAAGATCGGTAATCCGAATTTCAATGAGAATTTATCTCTAGCGTGATCCACTTCAAATTTCACGGACAATACGGATAATACCTGTCATGACCTAATACCGGTTACATGAGCATTTTAAGATAAAATTATTGAAGAAAATATTTTTCTATATATTAGACTTTAGAATTGAAATTTCTTATTCTTTCCATTCCATGTTAGTGTTTTTCTCTTTGATTGTATCATGCGTATGCAATTATTTAAAGCGTTATTTAACCCAGTAAATTCTTAACATCAAATTCTTCGTATTATATGCATTAATTAAGAATTAACATTGTTTTTGTTAATAATTGATTCTTAAACTTTATTGCGTGACAGAATTGCTTAAAAAGAAGCAAAAGTAATAGGTTTGAAATTATTACATAGGAATAAAACGATAAGAACTTGGCTTTTTAAATGTAAATTATCTATATTAGAAGCGTAACATATACCAAAGTATTCATATATAGTATAATTTGTTAATATTATATTTATATTATATTATAAAAATATTATATTATATAAATAAAATGACAAAAGCAATATACGGTATGATAATAATACACAATAAAAATAAAAGGCTAAAAGACCGTGGCGCAAGATGTTAAAGCGTAAAAAATAAAAGTAATAATAAAAAGACTCTAAATAAGAGACATAATATATTAATATATTAATCAGTTAGATATAAAACAATACATACGTACGTTTCGATCTTTTCAATGTTCAAGAAGTTAGAAGATAAACAAAATTAAATTTTAAATAATAAATAGAACGCGATTAAACAAAGACAAGCGCGATAAGAAACAAATAGACATTGTGTACAATAATAACGGTCGCAAAAATTTAAGAACGCTAACAATAGATGTGACGAAAGCGCAGTTAGCAAATTATAAAACTAATAATGTATAGTCGTAAGCCAGATTTTCCGAAAGAAAGCCAACGTTCACTTATCCATCAGAAAAAAGACGTAATAGAACCGTATACGTGAAGAATATTCTTTCACAAATTTGTGTTGTGTGACAATCCACCGATGAAAAAAGTCCCAGAAATCTTTTCAAATAAGTCATGAAGTCGTAAGGATAAAATTGAGCTTGGTCAAAAGATTCTTAAAAAAGTCCAGAAATCCTTCCAGGTGAAAGATCCACAAAAGTGTCAACAGAAACAAATTGAATCTCTTAATCGATGAGTTCTTATTTCGACAATTTGTGAATTAAGAATAATAATTTTTCACTTACTCCTTTTTACATAATATATTTAAGATGTTAACACATAAAGTTTTTTTCAATTATATACAAATTTCCAATTTTCTTATTTTAAATATCTATTAATTATCAATTTTAAATATCTAAAGAAAAATTTTAATTTTAATTAGCGATTAGTTTTAAAAAGGAGAAGCAATGCCATTAAATTTTTACTTATAATTAAGCTCAATGGGCTACTTGGCATAAGCATCACGGCTTAGAAGATATTTGATTAACATAAATTGCAACGAATATCCATAAAGTTTTATTTGTATGGCGTGATCAATCAACACGAGTTGAAGACAAATCGCAATTGTAACGCGATTAAAAGAAGCCTTCCCTTGTCTGTTTCTATTAAATTGAAAAAAAAAGAATTATTTAAAGCGCGAATCTTTCACACATAATTAAATAAATAATTAATCTTCGTACAATCGTTTTCGCAATATATCTAACTTTCTTATGAAAATTGAAATTTGAATTATTCTGTCAGAATAAATTATTTACGCGAAACTTTGGAAATTTAGTAGATTATGCGACATCGATGTTTTCTATGTACAACACAAATATCCTTATATTGATCATTATTATTCTAACAGAAAACTATTTTGTATTATTTTAAATTCATTGTCGAAGAGGAAAAAATTGATAAAGTTAGATAAAGTTTTTCTGTTATATTCCTTCACCATTAATAATACCTGTAGCTTAATAATATTTATAAATATAATTATAATTATAATTATAAATATAATTATTTGCGAAAATATTATTTTCTATAGCAGTGTCGTATGCAATACGCATCATACATAATTTATTTCGTAATGATTTTAATTTGGAGATGATTTTCTTTTATTGTTAATAGCAAAAATGTCAATTATTTCCTAGTCACAAGCGACTGAAAAAAATTTTTTATAAATTATACTTTGTTATATTAATGTAAAGACTGACAAAACTATATTCTTTAAATAATTTTAGATGAGTTTTTATTTCAGTAAAATTCTAATTTGTATCTTAGTTATGTATCGTGAAAAAAATTTGAAATCTGCAAAAATATAATGCCTTTTTTAGGCATTTTCGTAAAAGAAAACTTGACACTTAATTAGCCAAAAAATCTACAAATCTCGAAAAAGATGTTCAGAAATTTTAAGAAATTATTTTAGCGACCTGCTTTTTTTTATATAAAATCGTTGAGATTATTTGGAAAGAGAAATCACGTATTTACATTATCGGTGATACAGCGAGGGAATAAAAAAACTTATCAGAAACACAACAATGTCGCTTCTTCATGTGTCATGACAATTTTAATTTTAATTAGCGATTAGTTTTATAAAAGTAGAAACAATAACAATAGATTTTTACTTGTAATTAAGCTCAACGGAATATCCGTAATGTTTCATTTGTACGACGTGACCAATCGACGCGAGTTGAAGGCAAGTCGCAATTGTGACGCGATTAAAAGGAGCCTTGTCTATTTCTCTATTATTCTGTGATTTGTCGATGCCGTTGCGAATAGCGAATAAAATCAGTCGCGAGAAAATACCGAGTGAAAAGGATGATCGATTTATCAGCGAAATAAATCACCAAACCATCGATACCGTTCTTTGATTTTACAGCGCTTCGAGCTCCACAAATAATATTCGATTGTTGTTTTCATGATAGAATATCCATCGTTCGCCTTTACGTTACATAATCGCCGTCAAATTCCCTTTCGAGCAACACAACAATCTCGCTTCTTCATGTGTCATGACCTCAAAATTCGCTAATAAACGAATGTATTCTTTCTCACATGTTTATCCTCTACATTTCTTATACATTTCCTAGATCGGTAAATTAGTTGTGCCTTAGCTTGGCTACGAATCACATCTATTTCGATTTCTTTCATGCTATTTATTTCGTTTTCTGTAAAGAATTTTGGCATTATAATATTTTCTTCGGTTATTTCAAGCTTCAAGTAAGCTGTAAGTTTTTTAGAATTATATTAATTTGAATTATTATTTATATTATTAATTTAGGTGTGTGTGTGTGTGTGTGTGTTAAAAAGAATAATTTTGATTCATATTTGTTACGTCAAAGAGTATTTGAATTAAAACTAAAAATGTTTGTAATATTTTATAATTTTTATTGCATATTATACACACATACGCTCTTATCATGTGCGTTTTATTCACTGTATTTTCTGTGTTAATCCTTATAGATTTCCTTCCATTATTTATATGATTTGATCTTGTGCAGCTATACTGATTTAGACATACTAAATTAATTATTTATTTTTTTTTCATGTTATTAATACGTTGATTATGAGATTATGACGAATATGATATACGATAACATCAAAAATTTTAAAAGGGATAGATTAGTTTAATAATGTTATAGTTATAAATTTATATATATATATATATATATATATATATATATATATATGTGTCTGTGTGCGTGCGCGCATGTGTGTGTGTGTACCTTGAAATATATAGAAAGATTTTAAGATTATTTCTAATCGAGTCTTTTTATTTTTCAGTGAAATTACAAAAAAATGTTTTCAAGCAGCTCTCATATACAATGTCCAAGAAGAATGCCTCACTTGTATACATCTTCGATAATGAAATGCTATTTCAATAAAATATTTCACTTATCGATTATACACAAACGAGGATATATTCCCCACTCATGGGGAATTAAATGGATTTATGTTATTTTGAGTTGTCTATTCTTGACGATAAATGCGAACATGCAACAAGTCGAACAATGCATGAATTTTCCAACAGCAGGATGTAAGTTTGAAATATAATAAATTTTTTTTGTTTCATATAGAGTGATATTTAAATAATGTTAAAAATTGCCATGTATAACACAATAAATTTCCTATACAACTTGATAGATATCTTTCTCGAATAATGAAAAATATTTTGCATTTCTTTTATAATAAATAATTTCATATCTGTGAACTTTTTGCCACTGATAATGAGTCACTCACTGTTCCATATCACTGTATTCTCTTTACTCATAAATAATCGATAGAATATTACTATATTACACATACGAATAAATTATCAACTTATATTTTTATAAAGACAATTTTTTTTTACTTTTATTATATTATGTACAAATATATAATTCACAAATTTCAAGGCAGTAAGTACATTAAGATTTATATGCATTTTAAATTAAAGATAACATAAAAATTATTAATTTTTGATTTATTCCGCATGCGTGCTGCCTAATATCAGAATTATAGATAAAACAAATGTCTCTTAACTTTCTATAATAATCTAGTTTTAAACTAAATGCATATATTTATATTAACACCAACAATATAAGGGAGACTGAAATTATTCATATGATTGAATATGCCGACATCAGGTCTCCTTAATGTATTCTTACGTTTTATAATGTTATTGCATATAATATTATTATTATATTTAACATTATTTATTTTATACATATGTAAAAGGGCTTGTAATTATAGTTATATTATACATATTTCTTATTAAAGAGATTACTTATTCTCGCATTAATTTATTATTAAGTAAACATTATAAACAAATATTGCTTAGAATTTTTAATTTAGTATTTTTAGAATCTCCGAATATCTAATAAATTACATTTTACTTTTTATAGGGACAGTACCAAAAGGTGAAATAATTGTGAAATATGGCAACAACTTGCAAATTTGGTGTAATTTAAATGAGACGTTTATAGCTAAAGAATATTCGGGTACAAATTCTTCGAATATCTTCTTCGTTCGCGATAATATAACAGTAGAGCAGAAATTCGTTACTATAATCAATAAAACAACAGCACTATTGACCATTAAATCGCCACCAGTCGGACAATTTAAATATTTTTGCCATTTGGATGTACTTGGCATATTCAGAACTGTTTGTTTTAATAAAGTTTTAGTTGCGTGTAAGTAATCATATTTATTTGTAAATTATTTTTTTCAATTATTTTCGAGTTACATATTTCTTCAAAGATACTTTTTCTCTTCAATTATATTATCTATAAGGGATATATTTTATTTATTTCATTTTTATAAAGAAAATATTAAAAATATATAATACTCTACGATATATTCTTGATAAAATTAATCTGAGAAATTTTCTCATGAAGAAAATACTACAAAAATATTTTACTATTTACAATAATTATACGTATCTAAAGTACAAATATTCTAATTACAGTAGAAATATATGTTTGCTATAGTAGAAATACAGTTACCCTCTCATCAGTATATGATATTCGACGCGATGTTTTATGGAAACAGTAGTACATTGATTCCCTTTTCAATAAAATTATGAGTGAATTGTTTGATATATATGTCTTAGAAATCATTTTGCATTCGTCAACTATAAAGATTATTAAAAAGGAGATATTGTATAATATTCAATGTTATTCAAGTAATTTGTTATCTTATAAAATGTTAACTTGTAATTAACATTGAATTACTATTCAGTTTCATGTGTTTGCAGAAGCAATGTTCGAGATAAATATACACACACAATATAAATTATACATTTTATTAATATATTTACTTAAAAAAATTACGATTTTTTAAAAATATAACATGTTTTATACATGTTGCATTAAATTGCTTTCTATTGTATAAAATCTGTGTAAAATAAAAACGATATAAACTGAGAATTTATATTAAATGAAGTAGCTTGTACTACAACTGATACACAAAAAACAAATTATAACATTGTTTATGAATGCAAATTCGAACAAAGACAATTCACAGCGAGATTTATTAACATTAATATTACAGATTAAACATATTGGAAATTGAAAGATATATTTAAAAATTAATTGTGTAATTTTAACAAATATACATATTGTCCTCTTTTTTATGTGATGCATTTTATTTTATTCGACAGATGGACCTCAACGGCCAAAAAATTTTACTTGTAGATCCTATAATTGGAAGAATATAACATGTACATGGGACGTATCACAGCACTATGTACCAACAACCCATGAATTATTATATGTAATACACACAACAGAAGGAATAGAACCTGTTCCTTGTCCTACAGAAAAAGCGAAAAATGATTCTTGCACTTGGACTCAACATACATATCCAACATACAGGCAAACAAAAGAAAAATATGACTTCATAATGCACATTCAAAATATGTTTGGCAGAAAATCCTTCGTATTTGATACTATCGATCATTTTGCTATAGGTATACAAATCTTTTTTAGCCATCGGATTATTTCTTTACATGTAATAAAATGATGTCATATGGAATAAATAATGAGATATATATAATTTTTGAATACAGTATATGCTTTTGACATCCAACACTGACACTATGTCATTATTTTCAGTTATTCCTGCAAAACCTAGGCATGTATCGGTGATTAACGAAACATTGAATAGTGCAACGTTATGTTGGCAATCTCCCTTTGCGATGAACAATTTTCCTCCTGGTTTAACTCATAAAGTTATGTATAAGAATCACCGGAATCATCATGAAAACAAATGGAAGGTAGGATCAATTTACTACATTATCAGTGGTATTTTCTATCTCTTTAAAACAACTTATCGTTTATTATAATTATTGAAATGAAATTTAATTTATGAAATGATGATAATCTCGATTGCGCGATATCTTATTTGCAGATTATTAATATTGATACGGAGCCTCTTTTGCACAAGAGATGTTCTACTCTTACCGGATTACACGCTAATACCGCGTATGATGCACGTGTTTATTTAAGAAGCGCCAAGGCCGTAGAAGAGAATATGTATAGTGAACCCGCTGTTACTATATTCAAGACATTGTTAACGTGTAAGTGGCTTCATAAAGTAGAAAGAAAATTTATTGTCTTTGATTGACTTTTATTTTATTTATATTTATAGTACAATAAATATAAATTTATATTAATATATAATAAGATTTAATAAATAAATTATTATTAATGTATTATTTTATCTTTTATTACTTTTAGCACCTAGCTTTCCACCGCGAACCGATATTGGTAGCTTCGAAATTGTCGAACACAATGAAACTCGAGATATATATTTATATTGGCAAATGATAAAGCAATATCATGAAAATGGTGATAAATTTAAGTATCACGTTAAGCATGTGGAAGAAAATAATCATCAAACATTTCTCAAACCAATCGAGATAACCAAAACGTATGCTAAATTTGAAGAACTCAGCTTTAATAAATACCGATTTGAGATTTACTCGGAGAATGAAGTCGGCATTAATAAGAATTATACAGAAATTATTATACCTAATCAAGGTGAGTGTGAGTATATCAAAATGATTGGTGATAAAACAAGAATTACATAACGTTTAAATAAATATTATTGCGAACAGTTAATATGAGATATTTTTCGGACAGTGCCACATGGACCAATAGAATTTACAATAATGGCTTTCGAAAAAGGATTGTACGAATTGTCATGGGTGCCGCCGATAACTCATGAAGACATCACGAATTATACCATTTTTTGGTGTGACAACCAACGCGATCGTCCTTTTCAGTGCACAGTATGTATTGATTTTCTTGTTATTTATTTGTAGAATAATTTTGCGCGCAAATTAAAGTGATACATCTGCAGGGTTACTTGAACTGGACACATGTATCCATGAATACTACAGTCTATAACATAACGGTACCAAATTCTAACAAAATATATCAATTCGCGATTTCCGCTAATACGAATAAGGGCAGCAGCGGTATGATATGGTCATCTTGCACGGTGATTCGCCCAAAAAAGATCGACAAAATGAAATTCGTGTGGATTAATCGTATTGAATTAGACTTCATCGAGGTTGGATGGAGGTTTGACTGTTTAGATCGTATTGGAGTCATCGAAGAAGTGAAAATTTACTACTGTCCTACTGTGTCAGAGTTAAATACCAATTGCAAAGAACCCAAGCGCAATATTAGCGTCAAATACGATCCATACAGGAGACACGGCACTGTCCAAAACTTAACGGCCCGTACTACGTATAAGCTCGAAGTCACGATAGTGACCAAGTATGGTGAGAGTCAACCTAGGTCTTTTCATGCACTTACTACTAAGACAAAATGCAGTATTTCGTCCTAAAATGTTTGATTTCAAAACTGTTGGAAAACGATATAAATTTAGAGCCATTAATATCGGTTCCAATAATAAATATTTAGTGAGACCTTGATCTGAAATTGGAGAAGATAATTGTTATAGTAATGATCAATATTTTATTAGAGAAGAAGACAAAAATAATTATGACTATCAATATTGCAAAGACTTATGTTTTATAAATATTTATGTATAAATATCATTAACATATTATTCTTAATATTGTTCTTAAATATTATTAACATATTATTCTTTTTTATAAAATTAACATTTGCGGTACTTGCGATACTCGGAAGTAGAATGTAACGCATTAGCAAATTTTTGTATTATTTTTGGGAAATAAGATAAAGACAACATTTTCTTAATGATTGTTATTGTTTAATAAAATTAAATAAAATTAAACAAATTTTTAAAAATAATAAAATAGTTTAATGAATCAGAAATTGAGTTGTGTACTTTTTTTCTATTTGTTTAACTCATTATCTAAATTGTTTAACTATATTTGTTCTATAATTTTAAATAAGATATTAACTTTGTGCTTTTGCAATTTTTTTCACTTTAATTTAGCAAATGTAATAATATGAAACTCATATTTTTAATCGAATTTAAGTAAAATTTTATACAAATATTCTTATTAGAATATATGTATTTTCTATGTAATAGGATTACTAGATTTGTGGTAATAATTCTAAGCGTTTTGGATTTATCACTGCTATATCGATTATTTTGTGCTGCGTACATTATGGAAAGAGGTAAAAATATTGTAATTTTACATATAAAATGTAACTTTTTTTTAAAAAATGATACCATATAATTATAGTTATTCTCTTAAAAAAATATATTTTTATATTTAATTTAATTTTTTGAGGTAAATCCAACGCCTGTATCACTCAGCAAGATTGTATCAACTTGAGAGTCAAATTCTGTCAGTCTGAAACTGATAAAAGAAGTGTTTCACGAGAAATGGAGATTGCGGCAAGTCATATATTTCAATTAAGATTGGTAATCCAAATCTACCTCTAGCGTGATCCACTCCAAATCTGACGGACAATACGGAGAACATAATGATACCTGTCATGACCTTGTGCCGGTTACATGAGCATTTCAAGATAAAAATATTGAAAAAAATATTTTTCTATATATTAGACTTTAGAATTGAAATTTCTTATTCTTTCCATTCCAAGTCTGTTTTTCTCTTTGATTGCATCTTGTGTATGCAAATATTTAAAGCTTTATTTAGCATAGTAAATTCTTAACACTAAATTTTTCGCAAATTATGCAATTAATTAAGAATTAACGTTGCTTTTGTTAATAATTAATTCTTAACCTTTATTGCGTGACAGAATTGCAAAAAAATAATGCCTTTTTTAGGCATTTTCGTAAAAGAAAACTTGACAATTAGCCAAAAAATCTACAAATCTCATCGAAAAATACGTTCAGAAATTTTAAGAAACTATTTTAGCCACCTGCTTTTTTCATATAAAATCGTTGAGATTGTTTGGAAAGAGAAACCACATATTTACATTATCGGTGATACAGCAAGAGAATAAAATAATTTATCCGAAACACAACAATGTTGCTTCTTCATGTGTCATGACTTCAAAATTCGCTAATAAACGAATGTATTCTTTCTCACATGTTTATCCTTCACATTTCTTATATATTTTCTAGACAAGTTAGTTGTGCCTTAGCTTGGATACGAATCACATCTATTTCGACGGTCTTTCCTTCCTACATGCTATTTCGTTATCTGTAAGGAAACTTGACATTATAATATTTTCTTCTGTTATTACAACTTTAAATCGATTTTTGGAATTATATTAATTTGATTTATTATTTATATTAATTTAGATGTGTGTGTACATGTGTGTATATGTTAATATGAATATTTCTTTTTGTTCATATTCATTATGCTAAAGAGAATCTGAATTAGACTTAAAAACGTTTGTAATATTTTATAATTTTTATTGCAAATTATACACACACACACGCACTCTTATCATGTGTATTCTGTTTATTGTATTCTATTTATTTTTTTGATTCTGGTAATCTTTAAAATAAAAATACACAATAAAAAAAGTGGCACGGGCGACATATCGAGCCAATTGTCTGTAACAGTCCTTACTGTATCTTTTGTCGAATCTGTTTATATTTTACAATTTTATTTTTCCGATAGGTACAGTGAACTTTTTTTTGCTCTTCCTATTTATTTAACATCTTTCTCATGTTATGTTATTTATATTAATCAGAGTGCCAAATTTGTTCATATTCGTTACATTGAAGAGGATCTGAATTAAATCGAAACACTTGTAATATTTTATAACTTTTGTTGAAAATTATACTCTTAACTTTTGTTCTTTAATCCTTTATAGCTTTCCTTGTTTTATATGATTTGATCTTGTTGACTTATACTGATTTAGACATATTAAATTAATTATATATTTTGTTTTCATGTTATTAACATACGTTGATTAATATAACGAACTAAATTAACTATTTATTTTATTGTCATATTATTAATATACGTTGATTAACACATATTATAACTAGCATGATATACAATAACATTAAAAATTTAAAAAAAATGTAGATTAATTTAATAGTGTTGCAGTTAGAAATTTATATATGTATATACTTTGAAGTATATAGAAAGAGATATTAAAATTATTTCAAATCGAATCTCTTTATTTTTCAGTGAGAACACAAAATATGTCTTTAAACATCTCTATTATACGATATTCAAGAAGAATTCCTCACTTGTGTATATCTTCGATAATGAAATGCTATTTCAATAAAATATTTCACTTATCGATTGCACACAGACGAGATCATTCATGGGGAATTAGATGGATTTCTGTTGTTTTGAATTGCCTGTTCCTGATGATAAATGCGCAACAAGTCAAAGCAAACTTACCTGGACTAGAAACATCAGGATGTAAGCTTGAAATCTGATAAATTTACTTTTGTTTCACATAGCACGATACTTCTATAATGTTAAAAATTCCCATACATAACACGATAAATTTCTTATATATCTTAACAGATAATTTTCGCTAATAAGCATGAAAAATTTTGCGTATCCTTTATAATATATAATGTCATATCTTAGGATGTTTTGCTACTGATAATGAGTCACTCACCGTTTCATACCACCATATTCTCTTTACTTACAAATAATCGTTGGAATATGCTACATTACACACACAAAATTGCTACATTACAGTTACGAATAAATTATCAACTTATATTTTTATAAAGATAATTTTTTTTACTTTTATTATGTACAAATATATATAATAAACAAATTTCAAGGCGGTACATTTGTTAGATTTATATGCATTTTAAATTAGAGATAAAATATAAAAGCTGTTTGCTTTCGATCTTTTTCGCATACATGCTGCCTAATATATCAGGATTATAGATAAAATATATGTTTCAATATTCTCTATGATATTCTAGTTTTAAACTAAATGCATATATTTACATTTAACGCCAACATAATATAATGGATACTAAAATTATCTATATGATTGCATATGATTGAACATACAACCGACATTGCCTCTTTTTTATTGTATTTTTACATTTTATAATGTTATAACACACACATATTGCATATAATATTATAATATTGAATATTATATACATATGTAGAACTTACAACTAAAGTTATATTATACATATTTCTTTAAATAGCTTACTTATTCTCGCATTAATTTATTGTTAAATAAACATTATAAACAAATATTGTTTAATATTCTTAAGTTAGTATTTTTAAAACGTCCGAATATGTAATAAATTATATTTTACTTTTTATAGGGATGGTACCGGAAGGTGACATAATTGTCAAATATGGTGACAATCTGCAAATTTGGTGTAATTTAAATGAAACGTTTGTTGATAAAAATTATCCGGGTGCAAACTCCTGGAATATATATTTTACGAACAATTATGACAGAATAGAGGAGAAATTCATAACTAGAATCAATAAAACAACAGCACTGTTGAACATTGAATCACCCCCAGCCGGAATTTTTACATATGTTTGCAGTTTGGATCTACCTAATGGCGTAGACGTATTTGTTTATCTTAGTGAAGTTTTTGTTGCATGTAAGTATCGTATTCATTTGTGAATTATCTTTTCCATATAATTTCAAGTTACATATTTCTTCAAGAATACTTTTCTTTTCTTCAATTATACTATCTAAAAGGGATATATTTTATTTATTTCCGTTCTATAAAGTAAAAATTAAAAATATATAATACTGTATGATATACCCTTGATACAAATAATCTGAAAAATTTTCTCATGAAGGAAATACAAAAATACTACACTACTTGCGATCATTATGTATATCTAAAATATAAATATTTTCATTACAATGGAAATATATGGTTACTGTAGTAGAAATGCATAGTTATCCTCTTATCAGAACATAATATTCGACGTGATGTTTTATGGAAACAATATGGTACATTGATTCTCTGTTCATTAAAATTATGAGTTTGATATACATATGTCTTAGAAACCATTTTGCTATTATCAACTATAAAAATTACTAAAAAGGAGACATTGTATAATATTATTCAAATAATTTCTTATCTTGTAAAACTTGTGTACATTAAGCTATTACTCAGTTCCACTCGTTTGCAAAAGCAATATTTGAGATAAATATTCACATACAATATAAATTACATACTTTATTCATATATTTACTTAAAACAAATTATAATTTATTTTTTAAATATTATATATTTTGTATATGTTGCATTAAATTGCTTCTTATTGTATAAAATCTGTGTAAATATGGAAATGATAAAAATTGAGAATTTATATTAAATGAAGTAGCCTCTAGTAAAACTGATACAAAAAAAACAAATCATAACAATGTTTATGAATGCAAATTCGAACAAAGACAATTCGCAGCGAGATTTATTAGCGGAAATATTACAGATCAAACATATTGAAAACTGAAAGATTTATTTAAAAATTAATTATGTAATTATAATAGATAAATATTTGTCCTTTTTATGTGATGTATTTTATTTTATTCGACAGACGAACCTCAACTGCCAAGTAATTTTACTTGTAGATTCTATAATTGGGAAAGTATAACATGTAAATGGAACGTATCACAACACTATACTCTAACGACTCATAAATTATTCTATATAGTAGACACAGCAAGAAGACAAGAATTTGTTCCTTGTCCTATAGAAGAAGCAAAGGATTATTCTTGCACTTGGACTCAATATACAAATCCGATATACAATCAAACACAGGAAAACTATACGTTTGTAATGCAAATTGAAAATATGTTTGACACGAAATTATTCACATATAATACTATCGATCATTTCGCTTTAGGTATATAAATATTTTATTAGTCATTGGATTACTTCTTTTCATATAATGAAATGATGTCATGTAGAATAAATAATAAGACATATGATCTTTGAGTATAGTATACACTTTTGACATCCAACAATGAAATTATGTCATTATTTTCAGTTATTCCTGCAAAACCTACGCATCTATCGGTGATTAACAAATCATCGAATAGTGCAAAGTTATGCTGGCAATCCCCCTTTTCGATGAACAATTTTCCTCCCGGTTTAACTCATAAAGTTATATACCAGAATCTTTGGGAAAAAGATTGGAGGGTAGGAACAATTTACTACATTAACAGCGATATTTTCTATCTCTATAGATATAATTCATCGTTTATTGTAATTATTGTAATTAAACGTAGTTTATGAAACGATGATATAATTTCGATTGAGTGGTATCTTATTCATAGATTATTAATATTGATACGGAGCCTCATTTGCACAAGAGATGTTCTACTCTTACCGGATTATACGCTAATACCGAGTATGATGCATACGTTTATTTAAGAAGCTCTAAGGCCGTAGGAGAGGATATGTATAGTGAGCCCGCTGCTATTATATTCAGCACATTACCAACGTGTAAGTGAATACATAAAATAGGAAGAAAATTTATTGTCTTTGATTTATTTTTATTTTATTTATATTTACAGTACGATAAATATAAAATTACTTTAATATATAATAAATTTTAATAGATAGATTAGAATTAAATAATTATTTTACCATTCAATTTTTTAGTACCTAGCTTTCCACCGCAAACCGATATTGGTAGCTTCGAAATTGTCGAAAACAATGGAATCAGGGACGTATATTTATATTGGCAAATGATACAGGAATATCACGAAAATGGTAATAAATTTAAGTATTGGATTAATCATATGGAAGAAAATGATCATAAAATAGTTCTCGAACCGAACGAGATGACCAAGACGTATGCCAAGTTTAATGGACTCAGCTTTAACAAATACCGATTTAAGATTGTCTCCCAAAATGAAATCGGCATTAGTAAGAATTATACGGAAATTATTGTACCTAGTCAAGATAAGAGTGAGTATATCAAGAAGATTAGTGCTAAAAAAAGCTACATAAATTATTGCGAGCAGTTAATATGAGATATTTTTCGGACAGTGCCACGTGAACCGATAGAATTTACAAAAATGGCTTTCGAAAAAGGACTGTACGAATTATCTTGGGTGCCGCCGATTAGGCATGAAACCATCACGAATTATACCATCTTTTGGTGCGATAGCAAACGCGATCGTCCTTATCAGTGCACAGTATGTATTTTCTCTGTCATTTATTTGTAGAATAATTTTGCGCGCAAATTAAAATGATACATCTGCAGGGTTACTTAAACTGGACACATGTATCCATGAATACTACCGTCTATAATATAACTGTGCCAAATCCGAACAAAATATATCAATTCGCAATTTCTGCAAATGCAAATGAGGGCAGCAGCGGTATGGTGTGGTCATCTTGCACGGTGATTCGCTCAAAAGAGCTCGGTAGAATGAAATTCATATGGATTAATCGTTTCGGATTAGACTTCATCGAGGTCGCATGGTACTTTGACTGTTCAGATCGTATTGGGGTCATCAAAGAAATCAAAACTTACTATTGCCCTGTTGTGTCAGTGTCAAGTAAATTTTGCACGAAATCCAAGCGCAATATTAGCGTCAAATACCATCCATACAAGTCGTACGGCATTGTCGAAAACTTAATGCGCCATACTACATATAAACTCGAACTCGCGATGGTGACCAAGTATGATGAGAGTCAACCTAGTAGGGCCTTATATCAAACTACTTTATGAGACGGCATCCAGTTTTTCGTCTTAGAATCTTTGATTGCAAAACTGTTGGAAAACAATATAAATTTAGAGCTATTAACATTTACAATACTTACAACAATAAATATCTAACGGGACTTTGGTCCGAAATTGGAGAAGATAATTGTTTTAGTAATGGTCAGTATTTTATTGAGGATGAAGACAAAAATTATTATGACTATCTATTATAAATATTCACGTTTATAAATATTTGTGTGTAAATACTATTTTTGATATGTAAATATTTACGTATATATTATAATATTATAACATAAATATGATAATATATTTATGTAAATATTATTATTCTTAATATTGTTTTTAAATATTATTAATACATTATTCTTTTTTATAAAATAACAATATCGGTAATCGTGATACTCGGAAGTATGATGTAATGTATTAGCAAAATTTTGCATTATGCAAAATAAGATAAAGACAACATTTTCTTAACGATTGTTATTGTTTATAAAATTAAACAAATTTTTAAAAATAATAAATGATTGTTATTGTTTATGAAATTAAACGACTTTTTAAAATAATAATATAGTTTAATGAATCAGAAATTGAGTTGAACTTTTTTTTTGTCTAACTCATTATCTAAATTGTTTACCTAATTTTTTTCTATAATTTTTTAGTGAAATATTGACTTTGTATGCATTGCGATTTTCTTTTCACTTTAATATAGCAAATGTAATAATATCAAACTCACATTTTTAATCGGATTTAAGTAGAATTTTATACAAATATTCTTATTAGAATATATGTATTTTCTATATAACAGGATTATAACCCGATTTGTGATAATAATTCTAAGCGTTATTGGATTTATCACTGGCATACCGATTATTTTGTGCTGTGCACATTATTGAAAAAGATAAAAAATTGTAATTTTACATATAAAATGTAATTTTAACCCAACAAAAATTTCTTTGCATTTCATGCGATTAATTAAGGATTAACGTTGTTTCTGTTGATGATTGATTCTTAATGTATTGCGATTATTCTTAATTATTGCTTAATTCTTTATTTATTAATTTTTATTGCGTTATCGCTACTGCCGAATTACGATCTCTCGATATTGCTGAAACATCTACAACACATTTGCAGACATTTTGATTCATTTTGCGTGACAGAATTATGATTGCTCAAGGAAAAACAATAGTACACTATAAATTATTGCACGCGAATACAACAAGAATAACATCATTTTTTAAATATAAATTATCTATATTTTTTAATTCAGATACATATATTGCAAAACATTATATAGTGAAGCTTTTTCATTTTTACAAGTGTCGAATGCAAAAACTGCTTCAATTCCTTCGCTTATACATATGATTTATCTGTTGTTGCCTTTCGATAATTATGAACTTCATAAATATGAATCACGAGTAAAATTATTGTAATTAATTATGTATTAAGGAACTCTTTTACAATTGCATTATATTATAGTACATACAGTAAGGAAAGACAAAATTAAGGATAATAAAATAAGACGAATAAGAAAAACGTACGAATGTTGCACTCCATAGGCATCATAAAATAGCAAAACAATTGTAAATTGTTCTGAATCCCCATAAAAGCTTAACATATATCTAGGCATTCATACTACATAAATGATATATTTATTAATATTATATTAATTTTATAAAATGTTTTTGTATTGTTCTCAATTTAGAATGAAATAAAATAGGGAATAAATGCTCTTAAAATATGTTTTAATACTGCGTTCTTGAAAAATAAGAATACTTGGCTTCTTAAAAGAAATTTTTCTATATATATTTTTAATTATATATAATCTCCAATTCTATGATTATAAACATTTATTTGAAAACCTGCATATAATTAAATTTATTTCGATCGCTTTTTGAAAGATGCCTATTCATTCTGAGTTTGAGAATATTATTAGTATAAAATAAGAATAAATCGAGATGATATCGTTCCTTCTCTTTTCATGCTGGGTAAAATCTAATATATATTTATATATATTTCTTCGGTTAATACAGGGTATCTGAAATGATGCACTAAACTTTAGGAGCGTATTCTGGAGGTCAAAATAAGACTGTTTTTTCTTATTAACATGGATCCGTAAATGAACTTTCCTCCGAGCTAAAATTCGAAAATGTGTGAAATTGATCAAACACCCACAACGCAAATTTATTTATCTCTCAAGAAAGGGTGATCAACCTTCTGTCATTTTTTTTTTGAAATACAGCCAATTTTCAATTTTTTCCCAAACTTTAGGGGCCTCTAGCTCGGAGGAGGATTTATTTGCAGACCCATGTTCATAGGAAAAAAAAGTCTCATTTTGACCTCTAGAATACGCTCCTAAAGTTTAGTGCATCATTTCAGATACACTCTGTATATTGTCATATTTGAAGCTGTAAATTAATCACGATTTTAATTGCTATTATAAATATGGGTGCTATTCTAAGGAAAAACAATGTACGGTCAATTCTCTTTAAATGTAGTAAGCGTTTATTTTTTTCTAATAAACGTGGGGTATGCAAATTCTTGTGTCGCAAGGCAAAGTTAACAATAATTAACAGACTATAATCTATGACAACTTATTGCCTATTTCGTGTTAATATCTTTTTCCTCCGTAAATAATTATATACATATGGAGCTTTTGGATTATCTGCCTGCAAAATATGGCATTCCCGCGTCTCTTTCTCGAAGAAAGGATGATGTATAAATAGTCGTGAATGGTGTATCGTTTCTCACGGAGCGGGCGTATACACACACACACACACACGCACGAACAACACACAAATACATACACGCATACATAACACATACACACATACGCCCCACATGTAATTTCATTATTATAAGGGCACAATAAATTCATTGACTAATATGCAGCAGTATCCGCACACAATGCAACGGTACGCGCTAAAAAATAATGTGATACGTATATATGTATATAAATTTATGTATAACACACACGATACAGAAGATTCAAGAAAGAATTCAAATTTTTCATTCAGAGATAAAATATTTAAAAATGATATCAGAAAACTCATTAAAAAGAAATCGAAAAACTTGAATATTCTGAACTTTTATTTTATAATTATTTTTCTGTTTTGACCTTTCTGCCTATGCATGTGTATAAAATGTATATACATACATACATACACACATACATACATACATATGTATATATATAATATTACATTATATGTATATTATATATAAATATATGTTCCTTTTTATATATTATTAAAAACGTTTGTATCATTTATAAACTATAATACTACAGTTTATTGGAAGTGTCTAATGGACAGATGCATTTTACTTACCGCATCGATTTGCAAATTATATAGAACTCGTATCTACAACATTCGTCCAGCAGTTTGCACACGTAGTTTTGCTGGCGTGCACAGTCCGGTCAATTTTTTAAAGCTTCCCTTTTTCTCTCTATTCATCTCGATGAATGTAGGCTCTACATTCACACATTTTCAGAAAGAAAACTGTTATAAAAGTTAATCAGATACATAAATTCAATAATTAAAATTTTATGGCTGGACAGAGTATTTTTGATAGATATGTTATTTGAAGGGTACATACTTTTAAAAAATATATAAGATATTCAACATGTTGAAAATAACTTATATATTTTGTACTTTTTTCAAATACACTTTGTCCAGCCTCGGTAGTGATTTCTAATATCGATTATTAAATAACTGCTTAAATCAGAGGATGTTCATGACATTATTAACGCATTCCTTGCGGATGATTAGCACGATGGCAATGCGGAATCAAATCACGCGGATGTCTCGACGAAGGTTGTACCATAAATAAAAATCTCTTATCGATTTTACGACAACAGAGAGTGAACGATAATGGGGTAAAAAGAAAGCCAACTTCGGCATAAAGTCAAGGAAGGGTAGTTGTTTTTTTTTAATACTTGTGAAAATGTGTAATGCTGAGTAAGTGTTGCACTACATCAATGCCACATTACTCGTCCATTGGTTTTTTAGTAGCTGAAACAGATCCACAGTAGGTAGATAACACAAATAAAACACACACAATCAATTAATCACTCTCATAACAGAACTTGATACTAACCGATAGTAATTAGGCTTAAACGGACCAGCCTTGTTGAGACCCATATATTTTGCCTGTTCATCCGTCAATTCCGTTAGATGTGCGTCAAACGTGGGTAAATGTAGTGATGCGACGTACTCATCTGCATAAATGGACATTATGATTTAGTAGGTATTTATTACTTTAATACGATACTAATAAATTAGTAGAAATATAATAGATAACAACCCAGACAGCACACATGTCCAAAAGACATCTAAAAGACGACTTGAAGACGTCTTAAATCCTTTAGACATCTTTAAGACATCTTTTGGCTTTTTTGTGCTGTCTGGGAGGAGATAAAATATTAAATTGGTTAGATTAAAGTATTTTGCCGGTTTTTGTTTCATCATTAAGTCATTTAAATATTCTAAAAATATTGAAAAATTAGAGAAAAAAACGTTTCACACACACACACACACACACACACACACAATGATGACTACATCAGTGAATAAGGATCATTTCGAAATTATATATATGTATATATATTTTAGCTATGAATACGATGCAAAAAGACTTTGAAATTAATTTAGTATCTTTTGTTATTGTATTATAGTTTCTGTACGCACCCATTTTCTTCGGCAGCAGATAAACATCACTTTTGTATCGTCCTGGTGGCGCGTTAAACAGTTCGATGAGGGCTAATGCTTGTGTAGCGGCAGTAATCGACACCACGAAAGATGGAATACTCGAGCACGACAAGTTTACTAAACGACCCTCTGCCAAGAGTATTATGCGCTTACCATCCCGGCCAAATAACGTGGTCCACTTGTGATCTCACTTTTTCCCAAGTCAAATCAGGCGTACGTAAACTGTTCTGTTAAGAACATATTTAAGGGGACTTAATCCTCTCGATCTCTCTTGAGCGTGGAATCGTCATATCGAATCGATCGCTCGAGAAAATCGAGAGTCGCTATAACTGCCGGTCGCGAAATTACGCGCGCCAAATAAAGTAGATAAAGTGAGACATACAACGTCTATCTCCGTGTTGCTGTGACCCATGTTGCACACGACGCATCCGTTTTTCATTTTGTCCATGTGCTCGCGCGTGACCACGTTCTTATTGCCCGTTGCTGTAATGACAATGTCTACATTTCGTATGACTTCATTGAGTTTCATCACTCTGAAGCCGTCCATGCTGTAATGCAACAACACATGTATATATGATTCTACTCGGATAATTTGGCTGCAAAAATTAATTTGTCCAAGCAAGCCTTCCTTACCTGGCTTGCAGAGCGCATATGGGATCGATCTCGGTGATATATACAATACACCCTAAACCTTTGAGAGCTTGGCAACATCCCTTTCCAACTTCTCCATAACCGCATATCACAACTTGTTTACCGCCAAACATAATATCTGTGGATCTTTTTAAACTGTAAATAATACATATTTTCGATAATTGAAAACTGCTGAGCAAGTTTTAGATATTTTTTTCTCGAAACGATTTATGTAACTAACTTACCTATCAATGATGCTCTCGCGACAACTGTAGAGATTATCGAATTTCGTCTTTGTTACACTGTCATTTACATTCATCGCGGGGACAGATAATTTACCTGCCTTTGACAATTGATACAATCTATGTACACCTGTTACACTCTCTTCGACAATCCCTACAAGAACATATATTCTCGTTTTATATATTCATTCATAAATCAAATGTCATATGTCATATTTTTCATTTTTTCCTTAAGAATTTCAATTTTATTTTTATTTTGTCGTTGATATTGATACTATTATTATATTAAATTATTTTTTTTAAATTAAAAATCTTTCCTATACGAAACTAATAAGTTATAATGTTACAGCAAACATTGTAGAATGAAATAAACCTTGAATCATTTTGAACATAGCGTTGTATTTTTTGAGCATTAAGTGGGTAGCATCGCCACCATCGTCCAGTATCATGTTGGGTTGCCAATTCTCGGCCGCTACGCACTTGTCGATACACCACCAGAAATCCTCCTCGGTTTCGCCGCGCCACGCAAACACCGGATATCCGGCATATGCCAACGCCGCGGCCACTTCGTTCTGCGTGGAATAAATGTTGCACGCCGCCCATCGCACCTGTGCACCCAGTTCTACCAGTGTCTCAATCAGCACTGCAGTCTGCGCGTTGATATGAGTGCATCCCACAATCTTGGCGTTTTTCAACGGCTATGCAAAATTAGAGTATTAGAATTAAATCGAATGTAGAATTAAGGGGTTATACCTAATCAGCAAGTCGAAAAAAACGTATTTTTGGAGAATTTAAAAAAAACTGTTAGGTATTTTTATCGATTCTTTATCATAATATATATCTATCAAAAAAGTTTTCATAATTTTTTCAGTTAAAAATCGAGAAGAATCATCGAGAAATGTAGGCACAGTAGCTATTTTCCAGAGACATCTTTTTTCGGAGGCGCTTGGCAGTGAGCAAGATTACGGAGCTGGATCATCTGAAATAAAAAATTCAAAAGAATTTAGCTTTCATATGAATTGATCTAATTCATGAACGAAGGGATTTTAATTTTGATGAAACCTTTTTTTTTATTAACAAAAGAACGAAAAGTTTTAACACAAAAAATTCGTATTTTTGCGTCAAACGTCTGTCATTATCAAAAATCAATTTTTTGTAAAATCCTTCGTTCATGAACTAGATCAATTCATACGAAAGTTAAATTCTTTTGAATTTTTTATTTCAGATGATCCAGCTCCGAGTAATCTTGCTCACCGCCAAGCGCCTCCGAAAAAAGATGTCTCTGAAAAATAGCTACTGTGTCTACATTTCTCGATATTTTTAATTAAAAAATTATGAAAACTTCTTTGATAGATATATATTATGATAAAGAATCGATGAAATAAAAATACCTAACAGTTTTTTTTTTAATTTCCCAAAAATATGTTTTTTTCGACTTGCTGACTAGCGTATAATCCCTTAATAACAATCAATAATCAACAAAGAATAATCTTTCCATTATCATGAAAGAAAGAGATACACCTTGTCGTCCGCTGCGCGTTTCCGCAACGCCATGATTCCTGGCATTTCTTGCTCGGCGATCTCGATCTCCCTACGTCCAAAAGCATGCTGATTGATATTGCGCACACAGAAATCCGTAAAGCCCTTCTCCGTCTTCTGAATTTTCTCGCGCGGCGAGACGTCGTCTTCATCGGATGAGCTTCCTGTATAAGAGGCTAAAGTAGCGCAAAATGCCGAAAAACATTGATTATTAGTAACATCAAAGTGCAAGTGCAAACTATCTACAGAAGCAACTAATTGCTTGAGTTATTTGAGATTACAACTGTTGCTAATTCTAAATACAAAGTAAAGCTACGAATAATGCTGTGGAATAATAATATGGAATATAACACTTTAAATGCTTCAATGCTGGTGATAATTGAGGTAGAAATAAATAAATTGAAGTTGAGGAATATTAATATGATAAAAAGGTAAGTTACAAGAAGTTATTTTTCCTTCAAAAAGCGAGATACACACAGAAAATTCACGTGTATTATCACGAACACGCCCGTACCAGAACTGTAACTATCGGTGCTACTGGCCGACAAGGAGCGGCTCCGGTAACGGCTGGACTTCTTCAGCGCTCCAGATTTTGAATCCTAGAAATTGAAAGATACAATTAATTCAAATCCTGACTGTGTAAATATGTTTCATTTCTAAAAGGGCCCGCATCGAAGAAGCTACAAACTGAAGAGTGCGTATGAAGCTTTAGCTTGTTGCATTAAATGTGTATACAGATCAATATATGCATAGACGATTTATATTTATGTCAAAAAAATTTTTTTATATATTATTACATCGTACATGATAAATATTTTCATATTTCTCAAGTGCATTTCAAAAAAGAGTGTGAAAGAGAGAACATTCTAATAATATATAAAAAATTCTAAATAAAAATATATTTATTATTATTACTAATAAATTAATATATTAATAATATATTAATTTATTAGTAATAATATATTATAGTAATATATTATAGTAATAATAATATATTAATAATATATAAGTAATATATTTATTATTATTACTAGGAGAAATAATTTATTATTACTAATAAAATTATATTTTATTAATATATAATCGTCTCATTATATATTAGTCTGTACTATCTAACTGACAAGCGAGAATGAAATTCTGACCAGCAATGACATTTATATGGCAAAAGGAGATAAAGCCAAGTCTTGAGGAAAAATAGCAAGGATGGCATTCTATGGATATTAGGTACAAGTTTACAAGTTTGCATGTTTTATACACATATATACTCTTACTTACTAATTTTGTTCTCGCGCCGTGAAAGGCATTATTTGATGCCTCTAGGCTCTGAAATCACAACAACCACCATATCATGATTCAGATGCATCAAGTGTACGCAATACAGTCCGTAGTTTGGTACAAAACTCCCAAAAATTGTACAGCATAAAATATGTATAGGAATTTTTCGTTGATAATTTTTTTTACATCTCGTTCTCACACCTTATATAATCTTAATTACAAATAATATTTTTGAAAAATGAATTTTACATATAAATCAGAATATAATAATTATCATACTCTATAATTATTAATTAAGAGAGAAAGAGAGAGAGAAAAAGAGAGAAAGAAAGAGAGAAAGAGATAGACATTGTATATAAAATGTTTTTTAAATAAAATTAATTGAGAATGATAATTGTAAATCTTTTTTTCTTGTTTTTTTTTATAATTTTGCTATTCAATCGAAATACTCCAATTATTTAAGCACAATTAAGGGAATTGTTTTAGGAAATATATTAGATCCCGTTGCGTTGTGCTTCTCAGATATTTTCTTTTTGCATTCAATATAATTCATGTAGTGCTAATTGTGCCACGCCTAAATGGTGTGTCTAGGCTTATGAGCGATGCATGAGTGATTGGTACCGAACCTACGGACTACTGTGTGAATAATGCTCTATATGTAAAATAATATTTAAGCATTGTAAATGCCAAGTCAGGCACTATGTGTGGAATTGCATGCATTCACTTCTTCAAATTGCTATTGTTATTTTAATAAAAAAATTGCTATTGTTAATTAATAAAATATATTAACAGTAACAGCTTTTACATATGTGTGCCTGGAAAATATATCTGTGTACAAAAGAGAATATAAGATATAAATTTGTATATATTAAAATTGAACAAAATATGCTAAACAATTTCAATCTCCTGATCTTCTTGTGGAATAAATAAACTTCTGTCAGATTTCTGTTTACTTGCCTTTAGGAAAATAAACAATATCTAGTTATCTCAATTATCTCAATTATTATCTCAATCACTTAATCAATAATAAGATACATATAATTAAAAAAAGAAAGAAATTTGGAAGAACTTATAATCTGGTCAGTTGCAAACAGAAATTCCAATATCCTCATAGTATACAAGTCTGCATTTAGATAGCTTTTAACCAACGCCCATTCATCAACGAGCGACTCGTCAATTAATACCATGTGTCCAATTATATAACAGCCATATGTGGTCACAAGACTTTGATGGATTAGGCAAGACGTGACACACAATAGAAATACAGGTGAGGAACTGATAAAGAGAATGACAGACGAGGAAAGAGGGAGGAAAGAGAAAGAGAAAGATAGAAGGAAACCAATATAAATAGAGAGAGAAAGAAGAGACAAACATCGCAATTTTCTCGTGTTTTCGAAACAAGCAACGCTCGATATGATCAGGGACACGGTTGATGACGATATTTCGCGGGTCTCGGGCTCGTGAAAAATTCCATCCAGTAAGAACGGCGGCAAATACGACCGCTACGACTTACAGCTGTTAGATTAGCCGAAGCGTCGTCCCGATTGCGCGAGACGCTCCAACACTTTTATCACATTAAAACCTGGCTCGATTTACCTTCATGCTGGACGCCGGATCGGTGACCGGGCCATCGGCGAGCGTGCCCCTCGTCTCCTTCCCGGACGACGTGCTGTTCACACCGTCCCCGCTGTCGGCCATTTTTCGAATGCACGTCCGCGAGACTTGCCGATCGACCACCAGGTGTCGCCCCGCGCGCGCGGATCAGGACCGTAGCTACCCAGCAAACACCAAGTAACATTTATACAAGGTGTTCCAAAAGTCACAATCAATCTTTCAAAGACAGACTCCTAGGATCATCTGAAGACGATTTTTAGATTCTTATCATTAATAACATAATTATTGAGATATTTATTTCACATAACGGTACTTGCCCCCCCCGTTCCTCGCCGAAAGTATCCGGACTTGACAGCGACAGCGTATTAACCCAGTGTTGGGATGCGGGGCCGTTTTTTCGCGCATGCGCGGCAGTAATGGCGGATAACCAGCGATGTATCACATGTAGAAGATTTGGCGGGCTTTATGGTTTATGTAAAATTAAGAAATGATTTCAAGTCTCATAACTCAAAAAATACTCGATAAAAAAATGTTTATTTATAGTGTTTTGGAAAGCTCTCGAGATAAGCTATAAGAATATGCAAAAATATATAGGGTGTTCCATTTAAGAAATTCAAAATGATCTTCACATAATCTTCATGTGACTCTTCAAGGTCAAACTAATGATACCATCTTATGCCCCCCTAGAAACCATACAACTTTTGTCTGAAACATCTTTTTCTAAAATTAAAAATAAGAAAGTTATTTGGGGTGGAACATTAAAATGGGACACCCTGTAAATATACATACAATATAAATATATCCAGATAAAAATGTGTGTTGTTGATCACCCGAAACAATTTTCTAAGAGAAAATTTTTTCGGGCGACCAGTGGCACACCTTCTCGTCCGTATTAAATACTCCATTGAGGCCTCGTTTGCCGCGCATGCGCGAAAAACCGGCCGCGCATCCCAACACTATACTAACCGTGCGGAAAACACCGGCGCCCGTCCACCGATGCGTGTGCCCACCCAGCAAGATGGCTCCTGTACGGGGCGACACTCGCTGTTCAACGTGAAGTTATTTACACACCTGGGATCTCGCGCTCACTCCCCGGGAGACGTGCCAACCGACGTCGCGTCGATGCGTCGCGGTGCCGCGCGAGCGTAAAAGTAGCGCCGCCTTTTTCACGGTCGCGGGTCGCGCGTCGACGTAACGTCACGTCGCATAACGTCAACGTCAACGTCGCGCCGCGCCGCGTCGATTCGAGCGGAGCCGAGGACGAAAGCCGGGGATACGTTCGCCGGAGAGGAGGCGCACCCGGGTCCCACCGTCCGGACGACACGGCACGGATTCCGGTGACGGCGAATCGAATCAGCGCCCCCCCCGCCCCCCTAGGAGACAGCCCACCGCGCGCTTCCCTTCACTCAGGTAACCCGTCGTGTTTCACGCTCTCCCTCTTCACCCCCCCACCCGCCCTGTGCCCCGCACGACGTGAACGGCGACGACGAGCGACCCCGCGTGTCCTCGTGTCGCCCTTGCCTCTCGTCTCTCCATCGTCGATGTCGAGACCCGATTGTGTACGATACATATCGATCTAAACCCGCGGCTGTCACTCGGACTCGTCGCGAGATTTCGCGTGTGTTTCACCGAGGATCTCCTTTTTTCGGAATATTCTGTGAAACTGACGAACGTGACCTCAGCCTCCTCGATCACTTTTACGTTTTCCTTTTTGATTTCTCTATTTTTTTTCCCCCCTGAATTATATACTTGTATCGTACATTCATAAACCATCGTTGGTTAATGAAAAACTGATGTGCAAGAGATGACAATTACGTTACTGTTATCGAGAATAGTGATAAAAACCGATTCGAGCATACTCCCTCCGTTTTTTGCAAACGATTAGGTTGGCAGCAGTCGGGAGTGAAAATCTAGCGCGATTCGAATGAGGAGAAGCTTATAATCGAGGATCAAAGTCGTGGCCAGATCGGGTTGGTTTTGCGGCATTCTCTTTCGGCGTCGCCGCTCTCGTCAAATCCGTCCTTCGCGACCGTACTTTTCTTCCATTTTCGCCCTCTCCTATTTCTTTCTGATGCACGAATAATACGAAAAAAAAATGGCTAATTTTTGAACGCGGAAGAGCACAAAAGGCCAAAGAGGAGCAGACTTGTCAAGTCCGTTCGCTTTAGTTGCACTTTCTACACTTTATTTATTTTCTCTTGCTCTTTCCATGGAGAGAGAGGGAGAGATTAGAGCACGTATATATCTGTCTCGTTTTGAACTTACCGAAAGTGTAGAAAAGTATAGTGACTCGCGATGAGACAGCCGGGCACACGAGCAGGGACAATTCCGCCCTTGTAGGAGAAATCGGAGTTTCCTGCGATGTAAAAAGCAAGTAAAGCTTACGTAAAACGCGTTAGAGCCCCCCGATGCCCCGAATCTGAAACGAGATGTGTATTGCAAGATTCACGATTGAGAATTATAAACGAAAATAACGCTCTAACCATAATTTAAAGCTCCGATCATAATTTATTTCTTGCTATCGATTTCAAGTGGATTGAATTATTCGGGAGATTTATTCCGACCTTCTTACAATTCTGCCCTTTGCTGATGCTTATTCATGCAATTAGCATGAGACAGAGTTATTGTGAATATCTCTTTCAATGTAATGCATGATTCATAGTTATATTTTAGGAGACACATGTCGCGATGTATCTATAAATCTACGATAATATACGACTACGATATTATATGCTATAAGCAAAAATGATACAAATTGTATAAACTGTAATGTGTATAAATCAATAATATTTTTAATTGATATATGTTTGTTTGCAATTTTTTTTTTTTTCCTGATACAAGTGATTAAATAATTTATAACTTGCTAATATTGCTATGATTGTAGATATTTGATTAAGGATCTTGAAAAGCTTTGTGTTATTTATATTCAATAATTTATATTAAAATTGCATCTCTACTGTAAGAACTTTATTATACTCTAGAGTAGAGATATTTGCGCAAATGAGAACTTTGAAGAGGATCGATTGGATATTTGTACATAAATCTAATATTCATTGATGCGAGCAAAAAAAATTGTGATTAAAATCATGCAGAGATGTTACCAAAGGAAGATTGAGCTAATTTTGTACCGCACAAAGTTTTAGATTTCATGTAAAATGACCAAAGGTATGAAGACAAATTTGTACTAGTTGCAAATTTTCTTAGTAACATGTCATTCACTATGTCTTGAGCAATTTGTGAAGGAGGGAAAATTTATTTTGACATTGCTATAAGCGAATCATTGCGTACAAAGATGGCGAGAAAGAGTGACAATGCTAAAAGCATTAATATCGCGGTGGTTGGATTGTCTGGCACTGAAAAGGACAAGGGCCAAGTCGGTGTCGGCAAGTCATGCCTGTGCAATCGCTTCATGCGTTCCATGAGCGACGACTACAATGTGGAACACATTTCAGTATTATCGCAGGTAATTGAAGCAATTCTAGAATTCATCTGCATTCAGCAGAAAAAGTTACTTTGCAACTGTTGTAAAATTCGTAAACCTGATTGGTATAGGCTCTTAATTTTGGCTGAATCTAAGGGCATACACCAATCAGATTCACAAATTTTACAATAGTTGCAAAGCAGCTTATCCTGCTGAACACAGCCATTGGTTGTCAATCAACGAGATACTTTAATAAGAGCATTAAATATGATTTTCTTGCAGTCTGACTTCAGTGGACGTGTGGTTAACAACGATCATTTCCTATATTGGGGCGAAGTGATAAAAATGGCAGAGGACGGAACGGAATTTCAGTTTCAAGTCATCGAGCACACGGAATTTATAGACGACGCGTCGTTTCAGCCGTTCAAAGGGGGCAAAATGGAACCGTACGCGAAGAGATGCGCGGCCACGAAGATCACAAGCGCAGAGAAACTCATGTATATCTGCAAGAATCAATTGGGTATAGAGAAAGAGTACGAACAGAAGGTCCTGCCCGATGGTAAACTGAACATCGATGGCTTTCTATGCGTGTTCGACGTGAGTCTCGTGCCGAATCGCGCGATAGAGAAGCAAGTCGAGATTGTGGCGAATATTCTGAATAATTTAATGAAGACGAAGAAGCCGGTGGTGCTGGTAACGACTAAGAATGATGACGCGAACGAGCAGTTCGTTAAAGAAGCCGAGAAACTGATAATGCGAAAGGAGTATAAGGGATCTATTTTGATCATCGAGACGTCGGCGCATGAAAACATTAACGTGGACATGGCTTTTATGATCTTGGCACAATTGATCGACAAGACGAAGATGCGCAACAAACTGATACCTTTCGCCGAGGCAGCTAGAGCCCGGAAGGAACTGTTGGATGCGTCGACGGAATCGTTGCAGAGATTAATCCGATTACACGTGACCGACTATCGCGCCCTGTGGTCACAGGCCTCGAAGAAACTCGCGCAACTCAAAGAGTTTACGACTTTCGTAGAATTGTTCGGTATCGAAGCAACGCAAAGACTATTCAGAAGGCATATTAAGAAACTAAAGGACGAGCAGATAGCGAAGAAGATACAGGGCTATCTGGACATGTTGCCGGATATACTTCACGAGATTTGTCCGGATATATCGAATTTAATTAATGAGTAAGTTTCTCGCGCGGATCACGCTTTATAAATCTTGCAGATTATACTAGAAAAGATACCTTACAGGGAATGGTCGGCGGTGCAACAATATATAAAAACGCATCCCGATTTCGATCAGTACTTCTATGAGTGTCCCGAGGATATACCGTGGATCGATTGTGACTTTGGAGAAAATAACGGCACAAAAATTCCTTACGACGTCCTGGAGACCCCCGAGGCGGAGACCGTATTTAAGAATCACATAAATGCCTTGCAACAAGAGCAACGGCGACTAGAGTAAGTATTCCGATGCAGCATCGAGTCCCGAATCATTTTAACAAATAAATATTACAAAAGGGAGCGAGATTACATATGTATTTTTCATAGAATTAATATAGCTAATTGTAGTAAATCCATATTGTTCCATTCGATATTCTAGAAGGTAAAATATTCATATGCAATTCACTAATGCTTTGCTTTATTCTGGGTGGTGTTTCTTTGTGCAGACTTCCAAAAAGGTAATTTATGCTTTTTTTCTTGTTTCCTTATGTCTACAATATAGAACATAAATATTTGAATCAGCAATAATAGTGTTTGTTTTATTTATTTTG